CTCTCACTCACTCCACGTGCCTCTCACCTCACACTCCCCGTGCCTCTCACTCACGCCCCGTGCCTCTCACCCACTCCACGTGCCTCTCACTCACTCCACGTGCCTCTCACTCACTCCGCGTGCCTCTCACTCACTCCACGTGCCTCTCACCCACCCCACGTGGGTCTCACTCACGCCCCGTGCCTCTCACCCACCCCACGTGCCTCTCACCCACTCCCCGTGCCTCTCACTCACTCCCCGTGCCTCTCACCCTCCACGTGCCTCTCACTCACTCCGCGTGCCTCTCACTCACTCCACGTGCCTCTCACTCACTCCCCGTGCCTCTCACTCACTCCACGTGCCTCTCACTCACTCCACGTGCCTCTCACTCACTCCGCGTGCCTCTCACTCACTCCCCGTGCCTCTCACTCACTCCGCGTGCCTCTCACCCACTCCCCGTGCCTCTCACTCACCCCACGTGCCTCTCACTCACTCCCCGTGCCTCTCACCCTCCCCGTGCCTCTCACTCACCCCACTGCCTCTCACTCACTCCCCGTGCCTCTCACTCACCATCCACGTGCCTCTCACTCACTCCCCGTGCCTCTCACTCACTCCCCGTGCCTCTCACTCACTCCCGTGCCTCTCACTCACTCCGCGTGCCTCTCACCCCACTCCCCGTGCCTCTCACTCACTCCACGTGCCTCTCACTCACTTCCCCGTGCCTCTCACTCACTCCACGTGCCTCTCACTCACCCACGTGCCTCTCACCCACTCCCCGTGCCTCTCACTCCACTCCGCGTGCCTCTCACTCACTCCCGTGCCTCTCACCCACTCCACGTGCCTCTCACCCACTCCACGTGGCTCTCACTCACTCCCCGTGCCTCTCACTCACCCACGTGCCTCTCACTCACTCCGCGTGCCTCTCACTCACTCCACGTGCCTCTCACTCACTCCACGTGCCTCTCACTCACTCCACGTGCCTCTCACTCACTCCACGTGCCTCTCACTCACTCCACGTGCCTCTCACTCACTCCCCGTGCCTCTCACTCACCTCCACGTGCCTCTCACTCACTCCGCGTGCCTCTCACCACTCCCCGTGCCTCTCACTCACTCCCACGTGCCTCTCACTCACTCCCCGTGCCTCTCACCACTCCACGTGCCTCTCACTCACCCACGTGCCTCTCACCCACTCCCGTGCCTCTCACTCACTCCGCGTGCATCTCCACTCACTCCCCCGTGCCTCTCACCCACTCCACGTGCCTCTCACCCACTCCCCGTGGCTCTCACTCACTCCCCGTGCCTCTCACTCACTCCACGTGCCTCTCACCCACTCCCCGTTGCCTCTCAATCACTCCCCGTGCCTCTCACTCCACTCCACGTGCCTCTCACCTCACTCCACGTGCCTCTCACTCACTCCCCGTGCCTCTCACTCACTCCACGTGCCTCTCACCACTCCCCGTGCCCTCTCATCCACTCCCGTGCTCTCACCCACTCCACGTGCCTCTCACTCACTCCACGTGCCTCTCACCCACTCCCCGTTGCCTCTCACCCACTCCCCGTGCCTCTCACCCACTCCACGTGCCTTCACCCACTCCACGTGCCTCTCACCCACTCCACGTGCCTCTCACTCACTCCCCGTGCCTCTCACCCACTCCACGTGCCTCTCACCCACTCCCCGTGCCTCTCACCCACTCCACGTGCCTCTCACTCACTCCGTGCCTCTCACTCACTCCCCGTGCCTCTCACTCACTCCACGTGCCTCTCACTCACTCCACGTGCCTCTCACACACTCCACGTGCCTCTCACTCACTCCCCGTGCCTCTCACCCACTCCACGTGCCTCTCACTCACTCCCGTGCCTCTCACTCACTCCCCGTGCCTCTCACTCACTCCAGTGCCTCTCACTCACTCCACGTGCCTCTCACTCACTCCCGTGCCTCCACTCACTCCGCGTGCCTCTCACTCACTCCCCGTGCCTCTCACTCACTCCCCGTGCCTCTCACTCACTCCCCGTGCCTCTCACTCACTCCCCCTGCCTCTCACTCACTCCCCGTGCCTCTCACCCACTCCACGTGCCTCTCACTCACTCCCCGTGCCTCTCACTCACTCCCCGTGCCTCTCACTCACTCCCCGTGCCTCTCACTCACTCCCCGTGCCTCTCACTCACTCCACGTGCCTCTCACCCACTCCACGTGCCTCTCACTCACTCCAACGTGCCTCTCACCCACTCCACGTGCCTCTAACTCACTCCACGTGCCTCTCACCCACTCCACGTGCCTCTCACCCACTCCACGTGCCTCTCACTCCACTCCACGTGCCTCTCACACCCACTCCCCGTGCCTCTCACCCACTCCGCGTGCCTCTCACCCACTCCCCGTGGACTCTCACTCACTCCACGTGCCTCTCACTCACTCCACGTGCCTCTCACCCACTCCACGTGCCTCTCACTCACTCCACGTGCCTCTCACTCAATCCACGTGCCTCTCACCCACTCCACGTGCCTCTCACTCACTCCACGTGCCTCTCACTCACTCACGTGCCTCTCACTCACTCCACGTGCCTCTCACTCACTCCGCGTGCCTCTCACTCACTCCACGTGCCTCTCACTCACTCCACGTGCCTCTCACTCACTCCACGTGCCTCTCACTCACTCCGCGTGCCTCTCACTCACTCCACGTGCCTCTCACTCCACGTGCCTCTCACTCACTCCACGTGCCTCTCACCCACTCCACGCGCCTCTCACTCACTCCACGTGCCTCTCACCCACTCCACGTGCCTCTCACCCACTCCCCGTGCCTCTCACTCACTCCACGTGCCTCTCACCCACTCCACGTGCCTCTCACTCACTCCACGTGCCTCTCACTCACTCCACGTGCCTCTCACTCACTCCCCGTGCCTCTCAATCACTCCACGTGCCTCTCACTCACTCCGCGTGCCTCTCACTCACTCCACGTGCCTCTCAATCACTCCACGTGCCTCTCACTCACTCCCCGTGCCTCTCACTCACTCCCCGTGCCTCTCACTCACTCCACGTGCCTCTCAATCACTCCACGTTGCCTCTCACTCACTCCGCGTGCCTCTCACTCACTCACGTGCCTCTCAATCACTCCACGTGCCTCTCAACTCAACTCCCCGTGCCTCTCACTCACTCCACGTGCCTCTCAATCACTCCACGTGCCTCTCAATCACTCCACGTGCCTCTCAATCACTCCACGTGCCTCTCACTCACTCCACGTGCCTCTCACTCACTCCACGTGCCTCTCACTCACTCCCCGTGCCTCTCACTCACTCCACGTGCCTCTCACTCACTCCACGTGCCTCTCAATCACTCCACATGCCTCTCACTCACATCCACGTGCCTCTCAATCACTCCACGTGCCTCTCACTCACTCCCCGTGCCTCTCACTCACTCCACGTGCCTCTCACACTCACTCCCCGTGCCTCTCAATCACTCCACGTGCCTCTCACTCACTCCGCGTGCCTCTCACTCACTCCGCGTGCCTCTCACTCACTCCACGTGCCTCTCAATCACTCCACGTGCCTCTCACTCACTCCACGTGCCTCTCACTCACTCCACGTGCCTCTCAATCACTCCACGTGCCTCTCACTCACTCCGCGTGCCTCTCACTCACTCCCCGTGCCTCTCAATCACTCCACGTGCCTCTCACTCACTCCGCGTGCCTCTCACTCACTCCACGTGCCTCTCACTCACTCCACGTGCCTCTCACTCACTCCCCGTGCCTCTCAATCACTCCACGTGCCTCTCACCCACTCCCCGTGCCTCTCACCCACTCCACGTGCCTCTCACTCACTCCACGTGCCTCTCACTCACTCCCCGTGCCTCTCAATCACTCCACGTGCCTCTCACTCACTCCCCGTGCCTCTCACTCACTCCACGTGCCTCTCACTCACTCCACGTGCCTCTCACCCACTCCCCGTGCCTCTCACTCCACGTGCCTCTCACTCACTCCACGTGCCTCTCACTCACTCCACGTGCCTCTCACTCACTCCCCGTGCCTCTCACCCGCTCCGCGTGGCTTGTGCTGGTCTAGGTTCTGCCCCCCTCTGCGATAGCGGGACAGTGTCCGTGTCAGGCCGCATGACTGAGTTTTGGCCTATGTTGACAAGTTGACTCGCCTTACTGATTGAACCATGAGGGGATTAAAGTTTTAAATTTAATTTGTTAAGGGCAAATTTCTTCTTCAAAGGACGTAATCATCCTGTAAGTAGACTTGTGATTCCTTTCAACTTATTCTTAGCATTCTGTCAACTTCGTTACCCTGGTGTCAGTCTACAGTTTGCATGTCAAGTTTTCAAAGTGAAGTTTGTGTAACCAGACGATGACCCAAGAAGGGAGCAGGTTAGGAGCCTCGCTCGCAGGAACGGCCTGAGGTTACCACGAAGACAAAGACGCGATCACAGGCGGTGCTCAGTGCAAAACGCGCACGCGGTTTGGGGTGCGCGCGATCCCGCGAGCGTTTGTCGTGTTAGATCCCTAAATCAAGCCAAGCCAAACTCTCGTTATCGTGGAAAATGACCGATAACTGGATAACATCTCGTTTGCAAATCTCCGTATCCTCCAATATACGTATGTGTGTTGAACTTCCACTGCCCAAGCGGAGTTAAACATCGTTACAAACCTCCACGACCCGTGTAGACGTTTACCCTGTTCGTCCCTGCTCTTGTCGTTATCCATAATTTTGCAGTAACGGCAAGGACACACGAGCCAGCAACAAACAGCACAGCCAAAGTTGTACTCGAGAAGAGATATCGCTCTCCTTGATTTGAGCAAGGTTATACGAGCTTGGGAATTGAGACGATGGTAGATTTGTGGGCAACGGCAGTAATCGGGGTTCTGCAGGGGCCAATGGGGAAGAGAGGGGGGCTGAGTTCTCTGGACTCGTTCTGTGGTAGTCACCTAGGAGACCATCACACTGCCAATGGAGAGGTTTCCACGTTGCAATAAAAAGAACAGTGGGGGATCGCGGTGTCTCTGTTCCTAGTCGAGAGTGTGCAACATACCTGTAATTCATTAATGGTCCTGTTCACGGAGCCTTCAACCTTGGAGTCAGGTATTATCTCGGCCAAATCCTGTTCAAATGCCAGCACCTTCTCCATTTCTGCGCATGATGAATTTCCTCCACCCAGCAGCCTTGTCACACGCATCATGTACTCTTTGTATGCAGGCAGTATCTTGCATAGGAAATAATGTGCCAAAGGTTAATCACGATTATGCATTCCAACAGCAGCTCTTAATGAGAAGAATGCACGAGTCTACACAGCCAGTATTCACATTTCATATAGCCCCTAATGAGAGAACACCTCTAGACTCTGTACAGAGAGTAGTGTGCCTATTCATCTCAGGGAGAGAGGCTGCCGGTGACAGGCAATGGGACACAACTCCTGGACTTGAACTGGAGCAGGGGAAATGAGCGACCTCCCACTTGAGTGAAGGTTGAGACAGAGAGCTTTGGCTGCTGGAGTAGAGAGCTACAGTAATAGAGAGGAGAGTGAGATGAGATGGCAGAGGTAGGGGAGTGTAAGGAGGGGAGTAGAGTCAGATGAGAGGTAGGGGAGTGCATGGAGGGGAGTAGAGTGAGATGAGAGGTAGGGGAGTGCATGGAGGGGAGTAGAGTGAGATGAGAGGTAGGGGAGTGCATGGAGGGGAGTAGAGTGAGATGAGAGGTAGGGGAGTGTAAGGAGGGGAGTAGAGTGATAAGAGAGGTAGGGGAGTGCATAGAGGGGAGTAGAGTCAGATGAGAGGTAGGGGAGTGTATGGAGGGGAGTAGAGTCAGATGAGAGGTAGGAGAGTTCGTGGAGGGGAGTAGAGTGATATGAGAGGTAGGGGAGTGCGTGGAGGGGAGTAGAGTGATATGGGAGGTAGGAGAGTTCGTGGAGGGGAGTAGAGTGATAAGAGAGGTAGGGGAGTGCGTGGAGGGGAGTAGAGTGATAAGAGAGGTAGGGGAGTGCATGGAGGGGAGTAGAGTGAGATGAGAGGTAGGGGAGTGTATGGAGGGGAGTCGAGTCAGATGAGAGGTAGGGGAGTGTAAGGAGGGGAGTCGAGTGAGATGAGAGGTAGGGGAGTGCATGGAGGGGAGTAGAGTGATAAGAGAGGTAGGGGAGTGTGTGGAGCGGAGTAGAGTGATAAGAGAGGTAGGGGAGTGTATGGAGGGGAGTCGAGTGAGATGAGAGGTAGGGGAGTGCATGGAGGGGAGTAGAGTGATAAGAGAGGTAGGGGAGTGTATGGAGGGGAGTAGAGTGAGATGAGAGGTAGGGGAGTGTATGGAGCGGAGTAGAGTGATAAGAGAGGTAGGGGAGTGCATGGAGGGGAGTAGAGTGAGATGAGAGGTAGGGGAGTGCATGGAGGGGAGTCGAGTGAGATGAGAGGTAGGGGAGTGTATGGAGGGGAGTAGAGTGAGATGAGAGGTAGGGGAGTGTATGGAGGGGAGTAGAGTGATAAGAGAGGTAGGGGAGTGCGTGGAGGGGAATAGAGTGATAAGAGGTAGGGGAGTCGTGGAGGGGAGTAGAGTGATAAGAGAGGTAGGGGAGTGCATGGAGGGGAGTAGAGTGATAAGAGAGGTAGGGGAGTGCGTGGAGGGGAGTAGAGTGATAAGAGAGGTAGGGGAGTGTATGGAGAGGAGTCGAGTCAGATGAGAGGTAGGGGAGTGTAAGGAGGGGAGTCGAGTCAGATGAGAGGTAGGGGAGTGTATGGAGGGGAGTAGAGTGATAAGAGAGGTAGGGGAGTGTATGGAGGGGAGTAGAGTGAGATGAGAGGTAGGGGAGTGTATGGAGGAGAGTAGAGTCAGATGAGAGGTAGGGGAGTCCATGGAGGGGAGTAGAGTGAGATGAGAGGTAGGGGAGTGTATGGAGGGGAGTAGAGTGAGATGAGAGGTAGGGGAGTGCATGGAGGGGAGTAGAGTGAGATGAGAGGTAGGGGAGTGCATGGAGGGGAGTAGAGTGATAAGAGAGGTAGGGGAGTGCATAGAGGGGAGTAGAGTCAGATGAAAGGTAGGAGAGTTCGTGGAGGGGAGTAGAGTGATATGAGAGGTAGGGGAGTGCGTGGAGGGGAGTAGAGTGATATGGGAGGTAGGGGAGTGCGTAGAGGGGAGTAGAGTGAGATAAGAGGCAAGGGAGTGCGTAGAGGGGAGTAGAGTGAGATAAGAGGCAAGGGAGTGCGTAGAGGGGAGTACAGTGAGATAAGGGGGAGAGTCCGTGGGGTATCTTGAATCAGCATTTCACCATAGCTTACCTTGTTCACGGGATTATTGGAGTAATAAAGTGATGGCAGACTCAACTTGGGTGTAGAAAGCTGAAAGCCGGTAAGAGAACACATTCATGTTAGTGAAATGTTACAGTTTGCTCATATTTTGCAAAGCTAAAACATCCTAATAATTAATTTAACAAATTTCAACTCAGCCTGAAAGCATTTAGACATTAGCCCTCTTTGTCTGTCTGTCCGTCCATCTGAGGCTGAGGGACACTATAAATTTCGTTAAGTATGTAAATAAGTTGTGTTGCTATTAAGGAGTTACCAGATAGAATAAATCTAATAATTAATCACTAATCACCCATCATCATCCGGCTTAGTCTGATGTTGATGGGTGACTGAAGCTTAACCCGATCTTGCCCAGAATCTCTTGCGCAGGCAAGGCAGGCCTTTTCTCTGGAGGTATTCTGCCTCAACTGCGTTTATGTTTAAAATACATTTAAAAACAATATCACGTTATCGCGTGTGACATCATCTTGTAACAAGTGACATGATCTTTCATTAAACGATAATTAACGTATTAATTTAATGGACATATTGGTAACTACCATGGCGATTGTGCTCATGAAATGCATTCATCTATTCCTCTCCTTATCACGTGAATTCAAATGAAAGACGACAATTTCTCCCACATGGCAGTGTTAGTTGTGTTTAAGGTGACACAAAACCACGTAACAGGTGAAGCCACCCAGAATAAGCACCTCATTTGAGACACAAAATAACGCACAACTTCTGGCTTTGACATTCCTCTTCAAAGACACTGGTGCAACTATCATCCGTATCAGAACATCAACAGTCCGATGTGCACATCTTCTTCATAATTGGAGAATTAAGGGCAAGCCACAGTAGTGCGATTGTGGCCATGCAGCCCAAACAATGGACCATATAATAAACCGTTGTAGTCGATACTCCTTCAACGGAGAACAACAAAACTACACAAACTCTCTCCTGAAAAGCCTTCGTGGCCAGCACACGTTGACATTGCCATCGAGTTCCTGAACATCTTGCTGCCATCATTCACAAGACTGACTCTTTGCTCTCATCCACACTGATCCCAACCACCACGCTACAACTCACACACTCAACAACCGGCATTCACCACTAAGTGGTGGTGACATCACCACGGCGCCTGTGCCAGGCTATGTGCACGTTAAGGCCACGTGAAGTGTCGAACACCCACTGGCAGGTCACGGGGCAGACCCAGGTTCCATTGACTGAGATGACTGGCCGATGCACCACTTGTACCCCCTATTGTGCCAACTTGCTGTGTTTTAGCCACCCGGTGCTCGGCTCGTTGTTCTGAGCATCGCTCCTCCGCCCTCCGTTGTTGCTGGAGGGCGACTGCCTTCAACTGCCCAGTAACAGGCCAGCCTAATTGTTTCTAATCGGCGAAGATGCTCCAATAGCGGGGGAGTCCATGTTTCGCAAACATAGAGAAGGGAGGGCATGATCGTGGCCGGGAAGACACACTCACTCACACACACAATCACCCACCCACTGTTTACTGCTGGGTGTTTGACGTTTCGTCTTTTATGCTCAGACTGAGTTTTAAAAAATTGTCGACATATGAATATTGGGTTGGCTCTCATACATAATGCTGATATTTTGAACAAAAATCTCATCGCAGATGACAGACCTACCTTGATGTAAAACATTTCTGGGCTGTCAATCCCAGGAACAACATCAATGTCGAAGAGGGCTGGAGACAAGAACTTGCGTGACAAATGTGTCATCAGCTCCGTCAGATGCAGGTGACTCGAGTTGCCCAGAACACCCCAGCCACCAAACTGCAACCGCACACAACCAGCCGACGTGTACAGTGTGGCAGGAGATTCACAACCAGCCGACGTGTACAGTGTGGCAGCAGATTCACAACCAGCCGACGTGTACAGTGTGGCAGGAGATTCACAACCAGCCGACGTGTACAGTGTGGCAGCAGATTCACAACCAGCCGACGTGTACAGTGTGGCAGCAGATTCACAACCAGCCGACGTGTACAGTGTGGCAGCAGATTCACAACCAGCCGACGTGTACAGTGTGGCAGCAGATTCACAACCAGCCGACGTGTACAGTGTGGCAGGAGATTCGCAACCAGCCGACGGGAACAGTGTGGCAGGAGATTCACAACCAGCCGACGGGAACAGTGTGGCAGGAGATTCGCAACCAGCCGACGGGAACAGTGTGGCAGGAGATTCACAACCAGCCGACGTGTACAGTGTGGCAGGAGATTCGCAACCAGCCGACGGGAACAGTGTGGCAGGAGATTCACAACCAGCCGACGTGTACAGTGTGGCAGCAGATTCGCAACCAGCCGACGTGTACAGTGTGGCAGCAGATTCACAACCAGCCGACGTGTACAGTGTGGCAGGAGATTCGCAACCAGCCGACGGGAACAGTGTGGCAGGAGATTCACAACCAGCCGACGTGTACAGTGTGGCAGCAGATTCACAACCAGCCGACGTGTACAGTGTGGCAGGAGATTCGCAACCAGCCGACGGGAACAGTGTGGCAGGAGATTCACAACCAGCCGACGGGAACAGTGTGGCAGGAGATTCGCAACCAGCCGACGGGAACAGTGTGGCAGGAGATTCGCAACCAGCCGACGTGTACAGTGTGGCAGGAGATTCGCAACCAGCCGACGGGAACAGTGTGGCAGCAGATTCGCAACCAGCCGACGTGTACAGTGTGGCAGGAGATTCGCAACCAGCCGACGGGAACAGTGTGGCAGCAGATTCGCAACCAGCCGACGTGTACAGTGTGGCAGGAGATTCGCAACCAGCCGACGGGAACAGTGTGGCAGCAGATTCGCAACCGAGAACTCCTCTTATCCACGACCCTATTACGTGCGACTTCTATTATCCACGACTCCAATTATCCACAGGCGCTTATGTAGTGTCCGTGAAATCTCCTATTGACACGCAGCCCGAAGATCCCAATTATCCGCTGTCATCTGCAACTCTTCCCCTAAGTCTTTACTTAATGGCTCCAATTGTCATCGATCTTTCCTCGCGGGTAAGTGGAGAAAATGTGTGGATAACCCCGCGGATAATAAGACCCGCAATATCGGTCCCCTATATTGTGATGGACAAAAGGAGCGTTCGCAGCCTCCCTTCGCCCCAGCAGACACCCGCCCACCAGACACCCGCCCACCAGACACCCACCAGACACCCGCCCACCAGACACCCACCCACCAGACACCCGCCCACCAGACACCCGCCCACCAGACACCCACCCACCAGACACCCGCCCACCAGACACCCGCCCACCAGACACCCACCAGACACCCGCCCACCAGACACCCGCCCACCAGACACCCACCAGACACCCGCCCACCAGACACCCGCCCACCAGACACCCACCCACCAGACACCCGCCCACCCGACACCCGCCCACCAGACACCCGCCCACCAGACACCCACCAGACACCCGCCCACCAGACACCCACCCACCAGACACCCGCCCACCAGGCATCAACGAGACCGCGCTCCCCGACAGCACCGCCGCTGAGTGGGGCGACGAGCGGGGACGGTACCTCCTTGAGAAGCTCCAGCAGGGGAGTAGCCCCAACGTCCTCGACTCTTTCTTCGTCCATGCAGGCCAAGTAGAACGCCTGGGCGTCGTACGCGGCCAGATTCTCACGTTTGACGAACGTGCCGTTCTCTACGCACCAGGCACAAATCAGCTCCTTAACGCTCGTCGCAAAACGACGCGAACCAACTTGGAGGCTTCAAGTGGCGGGCGTCCAATGAACACGTTATCGGGGAGCCACCACCACGCTGCGTGGCTTTCACAACACGCAGCTCATCAGTGACCCCACCACCACACCGCATAACTTCCACAACACGCAGCTCATCAGTGACCCCACCACCACACCGCATAACTTCCACAACACGCAGCTCATCAGTGACCCCACCACCACACCGCATAACTTCCACAACACGCAGCTCATCAGTGACCCCACCACCACACCGCATAACTTTCACAACACGCAGCTCATCAGTGACCCCACCACCACACCGCATAACTTCCACAACACGCAGCTCATCAGTCAGCCTACCACCACACCGCACGGCTTCTATCTTCCAAGAAAGCAATGGGCGGCGCTAAACTGGATCTGCACAAACCATGGAAGATGCGGACACCTAATGCATTAGTGGACGCTAAAAGATAGGACTGCGGATGCAAACACCAACTTGACAGAAAAATGTTGCACTGCTTAAATGTGAAGGCGCTGTATCTTCAATTCACCAACTTTCAGGCAAATAAACTGAACAGCTCGATCACGTATACATTAACGTCCAATAGTTGCTCTTCATTGGCCTATGAAAGGCATTGTCATGTGAAACCAAATCTGGTGTTTGGCTTGCGCAGATTCGAGGGCTCGCTACTGCCTCCAAATATTCTTCCCCACATTTCCGTGACAAATGCAGAGCGGCACTGTCTTGCGCTTGACTCTGCGGCAAATTGAAGGCACAAATGCGCATTTTGAGCTAAACTGGGACCCACATCTGACAGAGATCTAGGGCCTTGCCAATAAACAACTTCTGGCAGTTCTTCAATCCTGGCTCTGCTAAATGTCAAAACCAGTTCTTATTAAAACAATCTGGCAGTTCACAAGCATTGTTTTAAGCAAGTCTGACTCTGCTGGTGAGATGACTGTCGAAACTGGTCCAGAGTTTGCTCGTGTTTAACCAATGCTGCTGAAATAACGCACTCCCAGAGGCCTGTTTGGCTGATGGGATGTGTATACGAAATACTTGTAGTTGTTTATGTGGAGGGACAGGTATGGGATGGAGGAGAGTCATCTGCTTATATTTTTTACAACCTCGCTCATGGTTAAGTTTGCGTTGTCTACATGACACCGGCGCCCTTGACTCTCAGTGATATCCGAAGACGAAACCCACGTGAGTGACAGCAGTGTTCTGCATTCGAGTGGGAAAAGTACCGAGCCTGTTTTTGATGAGCTCCAGATTGTGATGGAAGCTGATGTCCCAGACGCTCCAGCGCTTCTTCCCTCCCGGAGGCGGGTAGCGCGCACCCCAGCGCCCGCACGCGTAGCGGTAGAAGTCTCCACAGGGAGGCACGCTTGGGTCCATGTAGGTGAGCATCTGTGTCGCCGCACTGACGCACACATCGCTCATGCAAGTCTTGAGCTCCTCCTTCTTGGGCTCTGTGGACACATTTCACAATTATCACCGAGGCTTCGTTAGTCGATCAGACGAACTTTTTTCAAAATGTACAGGGCATCGGGCGCATTTCTGCGCGGTGTTTGTATGATCTCCCCCTGTTCTGCACGGGTTTCCTTTCATGAGAAAAAAAAAAACCACACACACAATGTAACTAGTATTGGGCAATATATCAATGCTGAAAAACTACCAGCAAATTACTCAGCTGGGATCACACACAGCAGCAACATCACTCCCTACTGCAAAAAACTTGTGAGGATCCTCAGGGTACACAAGCATGGGAGCAGGCCAGTGTCCCCATCACCAATGGTTCCACTCAATCGCCACGGAAATCTGTTTCAGCCATTTTTTCAATATGTAAATCTGACCCATACTTTGTAACAAATCATGAATGAAAAATGCAGCTTTACAAGCAATACCATCACAAAAATCATAACACGCAGTAAGGAATAATAAATTGTTGGAACTAAACACAATAAGCATCGTCACATAAGTACAGCTGCAACCACCAGCACACGGTACACAATCACCCTCGACAACAGAATCAGGACTGAGATGCTAAATGGAGAAATGAAGCACCTCCTGCAACAGATGTAAATGCAGGGCAGGACAATGCGACGCATTTCACAGTCTGGGACTCGTGACCACGGCCGCACTTCGATCCCGACCCTGACGAGCCTGCTGTATATTTGGAGTTGGCGTGTTCACTCCGTGGTCGCGTGGATTTTTCTCCGAGTCCTCCGGTTTTTCCCTTTACATTTAGAAACAACGTCACGTTTAGAGTATTTGGCTGCTGCTATACATTTCCACGTGGTGATGATAAGCCACTTAGTTGAGCCATCATTTGTGATGGCCAGGTCACTTCTGAAAAAAGAGCTACACAGCTCAGTGGGGCCTTACCTGGTAAAATAAAAAAAAAGTTTAGTTTTTTCATAGTTTACTTTGGGCCACCCCTCGTCGTCCACTCGTCGAAGACCGGGGCGTCTGCTGTTCGGTCGGTGGTGAGGCGTTGGGCTCGTGATGTTGCATGCGTCCCATGACTCCATACCGTTTGGATGATGGCTCGGTGGCAGCTGCATGGATATCATGCAGATTCAACTCGCCCGTTGTCCTGCAGTAATTAGTGCCGTATAAGCACTGCAATGTGTGATGAAGATAGCAAACCAAGGACGATCGCCATGGTAACAGGAGCGATAACGTCTGTTCATGCGCAGCAGTGAGATGAATTGGGCATCACAGGAAGCGTGTGAAACATCACACGCTTCAGGGAGATCTTCATCTAGTGGATGCCAATAATTATTATTGTTATGTGATGGTTATTATTATGGTGATGTTTATAATAATGGTGGTGATGGTTATGATGTTGATGATGGTGGTCATGATGGTTATGATGTTTAATGATGATGTTGATGGTGGTGATGGTTATGATGATGTTGATGATGGTCATGATAAATAGCATCCGCCAAGAGTGCCTCCATTTTCACAGACGACAAGAGGAGTCTCGCTGTAGCTATAGAGTAACCATTGGCGTACACCTGAAATCAGGTGACACCTACAATGTTCGAGGTGAGGCTTGGTTTTGCAGGATCTGGTGAATCTCTTCCCGAGTGACCCTGCCCAGGGAGCATGCTTCTAATCCAGCACTAGGGGGCAAGGTTTGGTGGATCACAACACCGCGTGAAACTGCCTCTCGACTCAAGGGTGAGGTACAATCTCCTGGCTTGTCAGGGTATGACAGTACAGCAAGTGGGTTAATGTCCATCTGTACAGGGTATGAATGTTACCCACCCCCCCTCTCCATGGCACGCATCGGTTTTCTCCAGGTTCTCCGGCTTCATGAAGTTGACCAAACATCCCAATATAGGACTACAGAACTTGGGCAATCGTCGGCACCGGTTCCCGGTCGCCTTCCCGCCGGTGTTTACGGCGTCGCCATCACCAAAACGTTGCAAAACATCATCAAAACACTTGCGAGATGCAATTCGCACGAACGACGCGATGCAAAGGTAAAACGTTGTAATGACTATCGCAGGGTTTACCTTTGCGGGAGTAGTTTGCGCCCAAGACGATGACGGCAACAAACAGGACGGCGATGAGGAACACGTAGCAGTATTCTCGCTTGAACTGAAAGCATTGCTGGCTGCTCCACCGCTCAGTGTTCCGCAGCTGAAAGAGGAAATATCAGTCATTTCATTCAAGCGGCGTCGCTCTCGCGTAGACAATGCCCAACCTCTGCCACACATTCAGTTCAACTGTGAAAGGAACCGTTTGTATGGAAGTTATGAAACACCTAGACACATAACGAGCACGGAGACCGACGCAGACAAGTGGAAAAGCAGCAACAGCTATGAGTGAACTAATTGCCCACGCTCTGCGGCCCTCTACATATTTAGATGTCACGAGAGTTCATACATGCGGGAGACCATTGGAGCACCCTGAGAAAATACATGTGTGAGAGCGCAACACTCTATCCCTCGTACAGATGGAGATGACTCCACTTGCGGAAGTGACATCTCTTGGAAAGGCAGCGTACGGCGACCTCGACACCCACACAGAGCGTCAGGGAGGAGGGCCATCTCCCAAAATGTCATTGCACATGGAGAAAGGACACTGGCTGAAAACATTGCCTATTTTATATATTTATTTTTACTAGTAGGAACCTCCTGGTTCCACCAGCCCACAGGGGATTATTGTGTCCGTCCGTCTGTCGTGCATCTAAAAATGGGAGGGGTGGGGCTGGGTGGAAAGGGGAGGGTGGGGAGGGGCTGGGTGGGGAGGGGAGGGTGAGGAGGGGCTGGGTGGGATGGGTGGGGCTGGGTGGGGTGAGGAGAGTGGGGAGGGGCTGGGTGGGTGGGGAGGGTGGGGAGGGGCTGGATGGGGAGGGTGGGGAGAGGCTGGGTGGGGAGGGTGGGGCTGGGTGGGGGGTGGGAGGGGTGGGGCTGGGTGGGGAAGGGAGGGTGGGGAGGGGCTGGGTGGGGAGGGTGGGGAGGGGCTGGGTGGGGAGGGTGGGGCTGGGTGGGGGATGGGATGGGTGGGGCTGGGTGGGGCTGGGTGGGGAGGGGCTGGTCACCCCGTGGTGCCCTTAGAAAACTCAACGTTTAACCTACTCATGCCGGCTTGTGCCCGCCCTCACAGTCGGGCATATTTGCGGAATACACCACGCCGCCGTTGACCCTGGCCATTGACCGAGCAACCCAACGTTCCTACCAGCTCCCTCCGCAGGAATGTGTTACTTTTCATGCCACAAATGTGTTGAGTTTTTGTTATTTGTGCTTGTGCACCACTGTCAGTGCAGTCTCGACCAAATAAGTTGTTTCATTTTGTATAGGTTACATGACAATATGAATCGAGATCGTAATAATTATCGCTAGTATTACACTATTAACCAGGAAAGCCTCACAGAGTCTCAAGACTCTTTCTCGAGGGGGGTCCTGCCAAGTTTTCGCAGTGGAGGGCGATGTTGCTGCTACTGTGTGTCATCCCCGATTGAGTAATGTTTTGTTGTTGCTTTCGGATGTTTGAAATAATCCCCCACTGTGTGTGTGGGTTTAGCACTGGCAGGAAACCAGAAAGCCTGAAAGGCCTCCCCATGCCATTACTGTCCCTCACCATCTTGCATGCCACCTCACTCCTGCACGTGACCCACCCCCGTTGCTCCATCTCCACGGTGGTCATCCCTCGGGTGCTTTCTCTTCTCCCGCTGACATTCCATCACCAGTTTTGGCCATCCGCGTAATTCCAAGCGTGCGTCTTTACGCACTGATACCGACTGCAAACTTTTTCAAGCTCACTGGCACGGCGCTTTTAATGACCGAATTTAGTTCCCGAAACACCGCTGCTTACTCTCGTTGCCTCTTTAGTAAATGTTAAATTGTAAGAAATTAAAGCAATTGTTATTATCTGTTATTATTTTAGCGATGTACTTGTTCATTGTGTTAAGTGTTAATTACGTAAGTGCAATGAAACATTAATATGTATGCGTTATTCAATTATTTAACAGGAGGCCAGACCTCCCCTTAACGTAGAAATGATCTCCTCCCAATGAGACCGGCTTGGAGAAGATGTGACTATTATACAGAAACTCATTATAACCTAACATACCGCACCTCACTATAAGATAACATACCTCGTTAAAGGATAACATACCGCACCTCACTATAGAATCACACACCACGCCTCACTATAGAATCACACACCACGCCTCACTATAGAATCACACACCACGCCTCACTATAGAATCACACACCATGCCTCACTATAGAATCACACACCACGCCTCACTATAGAATCACACACCATGCCTCGCTATAGAATCACACACCATGCCTCACTATAGAATCACACACCATGCCTCACTTTAGAATCACACACCATGCCTCACTATAGAATCACACACCATGCCTCACTATAGAATCACACACCATGCCTCACTATAGAATCACACACCATGCCTCACTATAGAATCACACACCATGCCTCACTATAGAATCACACACCATGCCTCGCTATAGAATCACACACCATGCCTCACTTTAGAATCACACACCATGCCTCACTATAGAATTACACACCATGCCTCACTATAGAATCACACACCATGCCTCACTATAGAATCACACACCATGCCTCACTATAGAATCACACACCATGCCTCACTATAGAATCACACACCATGCCTCGCTATAGAATCACACACCATGCCTCACTTTAGAATCACACACCATGCCTCACTATAGAATCACACACCATGCCTCACTATAGAATCACACACCATGCCTCACTATAGAATCACACACCATGCCTCACTATAGAATCACACACCATGCCAGATGATTTATTACAGTAGTAGACCAGGTCTCTGGTTGTTGAGGAAACGCGCCATCTCTTGATGACTGTGGGCATTTGACACACACACTCACACGAGCTGCTGCTGTTGTTGTACATTCCGGACCCTACCCCGTGTGTACCGCATGACCACCTGGTCCCATGACTACCCACTTCCTCATAGCAATGTGAAGTGAAAGATGCCAATACAAATCATACCTCGGGTTGCAGTTGCAAATGGAACTATAGTCTAGTCAATCTAATGAAATCGACACTTTTGTTTTAATGTCTAAAGAGAGGCAACTGGTTTGAAAATGGAAGGGGTCTTATATAGATGGACAGGTATCAGACTGGAGCTTGCCATGACAGATGAAGCTCCCATTCTTGTGTCTTGGCTGGTACGGGAAGTTGTCAGTATTGATGACAAATGAAGGTGAATAATTCTGCTGCTCATCTTCTTAAGCAATGCCCTAATCTGCAACACTGCACGTGACATTTTTATACTTTGAATGTCACCTTGGAAATTTCTGGAGATTGAGCAACATCTCATTTGCAGGATGTGACTATCGCACACCCAGTGCTAAGTAATGAAAGTGCACACCGCCGGTTCATATAGAATGTGATGGTATTTTGTACAGCATCGCGATTCGTGCAAAAATGCAGCTCACAATGCCGCGGAGTGAGTGACTCGCACCGTCCTCGTACGGAGGCGCGGGGGAGCAGGCACTTGGTTTCGCTGGTAATTACAATTCTGGCGAATTGTCCGATGATGCTGGATGTAATTACCAGTGAAACGCCGTACTCAAAAACTGTAAATGTGTGGATTCACTCTTCGACACACCCGTGGGCTAAAGTAGTGAACTATTTTGTCTTTTGTCAACGTGACACTTTTTTGCTGATTGGCCGTGTCGGGTGTTTGAGGGTTACGACACATTTATAAATAGCACGATCTAACCCAAAAACGTTTATTATGAATATTGGTCGCGAAAGCCTACGTGTTACATTTTATCTGTATTAGTCTATTCCACAAAATGATTGATGCTATGTACAGAATATAGTCGATGGTACAGAAACCTTTCCTAAATCTTAGTGAACAATGATGCATAAAATACGTGCGGTAAGAGGTTGAACATTTTAAATATATTTTTTACTCGTTTTTTCATTCGCATTAATTTAACAATCTGTGAATGTGTTCAATTATCTATTAGTGTATGAAAATAGAAAATACGAATACCTGATTGGTATATTATACCATTTATATTTAAATTGGGTTGCTCAGAAACAGCAGTGTGGTAAATATCGTGTAAAAAAACACTTGCGGTAAGTCACTGGGCTTCGGAGAATAATAAAAACTGCCTGACACGTGGCGCGTGTGACATGCACAGTCCTCGACTTACGACTACTCGCACTTACCAATCAGCTTCTATGCTTCTATGTAATACTGCCCATACCTGTATTCCCACAAATATGCTAAATTCCTCTTGAAATGCAAATTCATGTGTCAAGGCGCCCCTTCCCCCCTCCAACCCAGCTTAAATATACGCTGCCAAGCCTGGTGGTGCCCATTCAGATGCTGTCTTCCCGACAGACCTGTTCTTCACCTGAGGACGGCTGTTTGCATTGTGGCCGAAACGTCGTGAGAATTATTTAATAATGTTTTATTTTTATTATTTTATTATTTCCCTTCTACGTGACTTTACCGAAAGAACCAAGAAGATACTGCACAGTGATACATTTATTTTTAAACACATTGACTAAACACGCGAACTCACGCTTGCTTGCAAGCTGAACGGCGAGATGTAACAAGTCACCCTCGCGCTGGGAGTTCGATTCCCACTCACGGACAGCACCAGTGACGATTATCGGAACAGGTCCTGGGCCTCCCCGAGGTCGACTCAGCCTCAAATTAGCACCTGGCGTGGTGTGTAAACATCGCCACTGGGGAGACAAAGGTGGCTGGGAGTGGTGCTGGCCACCCCCCGAGTGTGCCGTGCCGGCCTTCATAGCTGCTGCTGGCTCACAGCCAGCAGCAGCTGCTGCCTGTTACAGCAGCAGCAGCCTGTTACAGCAGCAGCAGCAGCCTGTTACAGCAGCAGCAGCAGCCTGTTACAGCAGCAGCAGCAGCCTGTTACAGCAGCAGCAGCAGCCTGTTACAGCAGCAGCAGCAGCCTGTTACAGCAGCAGCAGCAGCCTGTTACAGCAGCAGCAGCAGCCTGTTACAGCAGCAGCAGCAGCCTGTTACAGCAGCAGCAGCAGCAGCCTGTTACAGCAGCAGCAGCAGCCTGTTACAGCAGCAGCAGCAGCAGCCTGTTACAGCAGCAGCAGCAGCCTGTTACAGCAGCAGCAGCAGCCTGTTACAGCAGCAGCAGCAGCCTGTTACAGCAGCAGCAGCAGCCTGTTACAGCAGCAGCAGCAGCCTGTTACAGCAGCAGCAGCAGCCTGTTACAGCAGCAGCAGCAGCCTGTTACAGCAGCAGCAGCAGCCTGTTACAGCAGCAGCAGCTGCCTGTTACAGCAGCAGCAGCTGCCTGTTACAGCAGCAGCAGCTGCCTGTTACAGCAGCAGCAGCTGCCTGTTACAGCAGCAGCAGCTGCCTGTTACAGCAGCAGCTGCCTGTTACAGCAGCAGCAGCCTGTTACAGCAGCAGCAGCCTGTTACAGCAACAGCTGCCTGTTACAGCAACAGCTGCCTGTTACAGCAGCAGCAGCCTGTTACAGCAACAGCTGCCTGTTACAGCAGCAGCAGCCTGTTACAGCAGCAGCAGCAGCCTGTTACAGCAGCAGCAGCCTGTTACAGCAGCAGCCTGTAACAGCAGCTGCCTGTTACAGCAGCAGCAGCAGCCTGTTACAGCAGCTGTCTGTGACAGCAGCAGCAGCAGCCTGTTACAGCAGCAGCAGCAGCCTGTTACAGCAGCAGCAGCAGCCTGTTACAGCAGCAGCAACAGCCTGTTACAGCAGCAGCAGCCTGTTACAGCAGCAGCCTGTAACAGCAGCTGCCTGTTACAGCAGCAGCAGCAGCCTGTTACAGCAGCAGCAGCCTGTGACAGCAGCAGCAGCCTGTGACAGCAGCAGCAGCCTGTTACAGCAGCAGCCTGTAACAGCAGCTGCCTGTTACAGCAGCAGCAGCAGCCTGTTACAGCAGCTGTCTGTGACAGCAGCAGCAGCAGCCTGTTACAGCAGCAGCAGCAGCCTGTTACAGCAGCAGCAGCAGCCTGTTACAGCAGCAGCAACAGCCTGTTACAGCAGCAGCAGCCTGTGACAGCAGCAGCAGCCTGTTACAGCAGCAGCAGCAGCTTGTTACAGCAGCAGCTGATGCCTGTTACAGCAGCAGCTGATGCCTGTTACAGCAGCAGCAGCAGCCTGTGACAGCAGCAGCAGCAGCTGCCTGTTACAGCAGCAGCCGCAGCAGCCTGTGACAGCAACAGCAGCAGCTGCCTGTTACAGCAGCAGCCGCAGCAGCCTGTGACAGCAACAGCAGCAGCCTGTTACAGCAGCAGCCGCAGCCTGTTACAGCAGCAGCAGCTCCCTGTGACAGCAGCAGCAGCCTGTTACAGCAGCAGCAGCAGCCTGTTACAGCAGCAGCAGCCTGTTACAGCAGCAGCAGCTCCCTGTGACAGCAGCAGCAGCCTGTTACAGCAGCAGCAGCAGCCTGTTACAGCAGCAGCAGCCTGTTACAGCAGCAGCAGCAGCCTGTTACAGCAGCAGCAGCTCCCTGTTACAGCAGCAGCAGCAGCCTGTTACAGCAGCAGCAGCAGCCTGTTACAGCAGCAGCAGCAGCCTGTTACAGCAGCAGCAGCCTGTTACAGCAGCAGCAACAGCCTGTTACAGCAGCAGCAGCAGCTGCCTGTTACAGCAGCAGCAGCAGCAGCCTGTGACAGCAGCAGCAGCAGCCTGTTACAGCAGCAGCAGCAGCCTGTTACAGCAGCAGCAGCAGCAGCAGCTGCCTGTTACAGCAGCAGCAGCAGCCTGTGACAGCAGCAGCAGCCTGTTACAGCAGTAGCAGCAGCTGCCTGTTACAGCAGCAGCAGCAGCCTGTGACAGCAGCAGCAGCCTGTTACAGCAGCAGCAGCTCCCTGTGACAGCAGCAGCAGCCTGTTACAGCAGCAGCAGCTGCCTGTGACAGCAGCAGCCTGTGACAGCAGCAGCAGCAGCCTGTTACAGCAGCAGCAGCAGCCTGTGACAGCAGCAGCAGCCTGTTACAGCAACAGCAGCAGCTCCCTGTGACAGCAGCAGCAGCAGCCTGTTACAGCAGCAGCAGCTGCCTGTGACAGCAGCAGCCTGTGACAGCAGCAGCAGCAGCCTGTTACAGCAGCAGCAGCAGCCTGTGACAGCAGCAGCAGCCTGTTACAGCAGCAGCAGCAGCTCCCTGTGACAGCAGCAGCAGCCTGTTACAGCAGCAGCAGCAGCCTGTTACAGCAGCAGCAGCAGCAGCAGCCTGTTACAGCAGCAGCAGCAGCTCCCTGTGACAGCAGCAGCAGCCTGTTACAGCAGCAGCAGCAGCCTGTTACAGCAGCAGCAGCAGCCTGTTACAGCAGCAGCAGCAGCCTGTTACAGCAGCAGCAGCTCCCTGTTACAGCAGCAGCAGCCTGTTACAGCAGCAGCAGCAGCAGCCTGTTACAGCAGCAGCAGCCTGTTACAGCAGCACCAGCAGCCTGTTACAGCAGCAGCAGCCTGTTACAGCAGCAGCAGCAGCCTGTTACAGCAGCAGCAGCAGCTGCCTGTTACAGCAGCAGCAGCAGCCTGTGACAGCAGCAGCAGCAGCCTGTTACAGCAGCAGCAGCAGCCTGTTACAGCAGCAGCAGCAGCAGCCTGTTACAGCAGCAGCAGCAGCTGCCTGTTACAGCAGCAGCAGCAGCCTGTGACAGCAGCAGCAGCCTGTTACAGCAGCAGCAGCAGCTGCCTGTTACAGCAGCAGCAGCAGCCTGTGACAGCAGCAGCAGCCTGTTACAGCAGCAGCAGCAGCTCCCTGTGACAGCAGCAGCAGCCTGTTACAGCAGCAGCAGCTGCCTGTGACAGCAGCAGCCTGTGACAGCAGCAGCAGCAGCCTGTTACAGCAGCAGCAGCAGCCTGTGACAGCAGCAGCAGCCTGTTACAGCAGCAGCAGCAGCTCCCTGTGACAGCAGCAGCAGCCTGTTACAGCAGCAGCACCTGCCTGTGACAGCAGCAGCCTGTGACAGCAGCAGCAGAAGCAGCCTGTTACAGCAGCAGCAGCCTGTGACAGCAGCAGCAGCAGCCTGTGACAGCAGCAGCAGCAGCCTGTTACAGCAGCAGCAACAGCCTGTTACAGCAGCAGCCTGTGACAGCAGCAGCAGCCTGTTACAGCAGCAGCAGCAGCTTGTTACAGCAGCAGCTGCCTGTTACAGCAGCAGCAACAGCCTGTTACAGCAGCAGCCTGTGACAGCAGCAGCCTGTGACAGCAGCAGCAGCAGCTTGTTACAGCAGCAGCAGCAGCCTGTGACAGCAGCAGCATGTTACAGCAGCAGCAGCAGCCTGTTACAGCAGCAGCAGCCTGTTACAGCAGCAGCAGCAGCTCCCTGTGACAGCAGCAGCAGCAGCCTGTTACAGCAGCAGCAGCTGCCTGTGACAGCAGCAGCCTGTGACAGCAGCAGCAGCAGCCTGTTACAGCAGCAGCAGCAGCCTGTGACAGCAGCAGCCTGTGACAGCAGCTCCCTGTTACAGCAGCAGCAGCCTGTGACAGCAGCAGCCTGTGACAGCAGCTCCCTGTTACAGCAGCAGCAGCCTGTGACAGCAGCAGCCTGTGACAGCAGCTCCCTGTTACAGCAGCAGCTGCCTGTGACAGCAGCAGCAGCCTGTTACAGCAGCAGCCTGTGACAGCAGCAGCAGCCTGTTACAGCAGCAGCAGCAGCCTGTGACAGCAGCAGCCTGTGACAGCAGCTCCCTGTGACAGCAGCAGCAGCCTGTTACAGCAGCTGTCTGTGACAGCAGCAGCCTGTTACAGCAGCAGCAGCCTGTGACAGCAGCAGCAGCAGCTGCCTGGGGAATCTGAGTGGTAACTCTTTGTGCGTCTTCCGACCAACAAGCCAGCGTCAGGATTCAAATAAAGTGGAAATAAAATACACATTTTTGTTACTTTAATGTTGTATTTACTACTAGCTCATGAAGCCTGTCTTCATCGGGCAAAGGTATTCAATAAATGTAAATTACTTCATGTGTTTTTTTTACAATTTGTATTTACGATCTGACACGAACTACTCCAAAAATAATTATTTTTGCGCAAAAAAATACAAAATTGTTGACGATTTGATTCAACTTCTTAAATTTAAAGACGGAAACCGATCAATTGAAAGATTGCGTTCTTTTTTTTTTATTAGAAAGAATACAGATTTATGAACGTAATATTCCCTGAGGGGAAGCTCTCCCATCTTATATCGTTTTTGAATTATTGATATTTGAACATCATAAATTGCGTTTTCCCCCGTTCAAAACTGCTTCAATCCGACACATCTCAAAAACAATAACAGATAGAACAATGGTTATCGCTTTAATGTTATTTGCTGTTTAAGGTTCTATCAAATAAAAAAACCGCAATCTTATATTGTGAACGGCTTCTGAATGACACCAGGCACAAGCATGCTCATGGAGCACTTAAAATCGAGATTTGGGGGCCTTAAAATGAAAAATATCGGATTTCCAGATGTGTCTTGTTCTTTGTGTCCTAAAGGCTACCTGAGTTACAAATTGCAGCTGTCTGCCTTGTCGGGAAGTTCCCAGAAGGTGTTTGAGACAGACTCAGGTCTTTATTTATATAGAAGATACAGTATATGTTCAGTGTTACGTGCAAATGTACAATATTTCTTATTTTTATTGAACCGTAACACAATTTCATATCACTGACCGTACGGGCATTTAAATAGAACGCATTGCCGCGTTCCGACTTACGAACGGGCCACAGGAATTGTTTGTGTTCGTAAGTCGAGGACTGCCAAAGCGCTCGCTCAACTTTCGCACCGTCCCAAGTCGGAGGCGCGGGTCTCCGCGGCGTCTACGTCGCCTCCATCTCAGCACCGCGTCTCCCATCGCCCGCTCACCTGCACGTCTCCCCGCTCACCTGCACGTCTCCCTGCTCCACGTCCTCCTCCTCCTCTCTGTGCCGGGCGCGGGGCCCCCTCCGCGTCTCCGCGGAGCCCTCCTGCTCCTCCTGCTCCTCCTCCTGCTCCCGCTCCTCCTCCTCGTGCCGCTCCTCCACCAGCACCTCGTTGCCCTCCTCTTGCAGCCTCTCGGCGCCGCTCATCAAGCCGCGCACAAACTCCATGCCGCCTCCTCCTGTGTCTCCCCCTGTGTCTCCCTCTCTGTGTCCCTCTTTGTGTGTCTCTCACTCTGTCTCTGTGTCCCCCTGTGTGTGTCTCTGTGTGTCTCTCCCTCTCTGTATCCCCCTGTGTATCTGTCTCCCTGTGTCTCTCTGTGTCCCCCTGTGTGTCTCTCTGTATCCCCCTGTGTGTCTCTGTCTCCCTGTGTCTCTGTGTGCCCCCCTGTGTGTGTCTCTGTCTCTCTGTCCCCCTGTGTGTGTCTCTGTCTCTCTGTCCCCCTGTGTGTCTCTGTCTCCCTGTGTCTCTGTGTCTCTCTGTGTCCCCCTGTGTGTGTCTCTGTCTCTCTGTCCCCCTGTGTGTGTCTCTGTCTCCCTGTGTCCCCCTGTGTGTATCTCTGTCTCTCTGTCCCCCTGTGTGTGTCTCTGTCTCTCTGTCTCTGTGTGTGTCTCTGTCTCTGTGTGTGTCTCTGTCTCTATGTGTCTCTGTCTCTCTGTGTCCCTGTGTGTCTCTGTCTCTCTGTGTCCCCCTGTGTGTGTCTCTGTGTGTGTCTGTGTCCCCCTGTGTGTCTCTGTGTCCCCCTGTGTGTGTCTCTGTGTCGCTGTGTGTCCCCCTGTGTGTGTCTCTCCCTCTCTGTCTCTCTATCCCCCTGTGTGTGTCTCTCCCTGTGTGTGTCTCCCTCTCTGCGTGTGTCTCCCTCTGTGTGTCCCCCTGTGTGTGTCTCTCCCTCTGTGTGTCCCCCTGTGTGTGTCTCTCCCTCTGTGTGTCCCCCTGTGTGTGTCTCTCCCTGTGTGTCTCTCCCTGTGTGTGTCTCCCTCTCTGCGTGTCCCCCTGTGTGTGTCTCCCTGTGTGTCCCCCTGTGTGTGTCTCTCCCTGTGTGTGTCCCCCTGTGTGTGTCTCTCCCTCTGTGTGTCTCTCCCTGTGTGTCTCTCCCTGTGTGTGTCTCCCTCTGTGTGTCCCCCTGTGTGTGTCTCTCCCTCTGTGTGTCTCTCCCTGTGTGTGTCTCCCTCTGTGTGTCCCCCTGTGTGTGTCTCTCCCTCTGTGTGTCTCTCCCTGTGTGTGTCTCTCCCTGTGTGTGTCCCCCTGTGTGTGTCTCTCCCTGTGTGTGTCCCCCTGTGTGTGTCCCCCTGTGTGTGTCTCCCTCTCTGCGTGTGCCCCGCGTCTGTCTCCGCCGTCTCTGGGAATCCCCGAGAAGAGACGCTGCCAGCTCGTGACGTCACGCGCAAGGGGTGGAGGCTGCGAAGTCAGTCGTGACCCGGACTCTACCACCACCGCCACACTCGACTAATATAGTACTATACTACTACTACACTAGTACTACTACTACACTAGTACTACACTACCACCACCGCTACACTAGACTAATATAGTACTATACTACTACCACTACACTACTACTACACTAGTACTACTACTATACTAGTACTACACTACCACCACCACCACACTCGACTAATATAGTACTATACTACTACCACTACACTACTACTACACTAGTACTACTACTATACTAGTACTACACTACCACCACCGCCACACTCGACTAATATAGTACTACTACTATACTAGTACTACACTACCACCACCACCACACTCGACTAATATAGTACTATACTACTACCACTACACTACTACTACACTACTACTACTACTATACTAGTACTACACTACCACCACCGCCACACTAGACTAATATAGTACTATACTACTACCACTACACTACTACTACACTAGTACTACTACTATACTAGTACTACACTACCACCACCGCCTACACTCGACTAATATAGTATCTATACTACTACCACTACACTACTACTACACTAGTACTACTACTATACTAGTACTACACTACCACCACCACCACACTCGACTAATATAGTACTATACTACTACCACTACACTACTACTACACTAGTACGACTACTATACTAGTACTACACTACCACCACCGCCACACTCGACTAATATAGTACTATACTACTACCACTACACTACTACTACACTAGTACTACTACTATACTAGTACTACACTACCACCACCACACTCGACTAATATAGTACTATACTACTACCACTACACTACTACTACACTACTACTACTACTATACTAGTACTACACTACCACCACCGCCACACTAGACTAATATAGTACTATACTACTACCACTACACTACTACTACACTAGTACTACTACTATACTAGTACTACACTACCACCACCACCACACTCGACTAATATAGTACTATACTACTACCACTACACTACTACTACACTAGTACTACTACTATACTAGTACTACACTACCACCACCGCCACACTCGACTAATATAGTACTATACTACTACCACTACACTACTACTACACTAGTACTACTACTATACTAGTACTACACTACCACCACCACCACACTCGACTAATATAGTACTATACTACTACCACTACACTACTACTACACTAGTACTACTACTATACTAGTACTACACTACCACCACCGCCACACTCGACTAATATAGTACTATACTACTACCACTACACTACTACTACACTACTACTATACTAGTACTACACTACCACCACCGCCACACTAGACTAATATAGTACTATACTACTACCACTACACTACTACTACACTAGTACTACTACTATACTAGTACTACACTACCACCACCACCACACTCGACTAATATAGTACTACTACCACTACACTACTACTACACTAGTACTACTACTATACTAGTACTACACTACCACCACCACCACACTCGACTAATATAGTACTATACTACTACCACTACACTACTACTACACTAGTACTACTACTATACTAGTACTACACTACCACCACCACCACACTCGACTAATATAGTACTATACTACTACCACTACACTACTACTACACTAGTACTACTACTATACTAGTACTACACTACCACCACCACCACACTCGACTAATATAGTACTATACTACTACCACTACACTACTACTACACTAGTACTACTACTATACTAGTACTACACTACCACCACCGCCACACTCGACTAATATAGTACTATACTACTACCACTACACTACTACTACACTAGTACTACTACTATACTAGTACTACACTACCACCACCACCACACTCGACTAATATAGTACTATACTACTACCACTACACTACTACTACACTAGTACTACTACTATACTAGTACTACACTACCACCACCACGACAACCACTAGTACACTACTAGTACACCACTAGTACACTACTAGTACACTACTAGTACTACTACTACACTCACTACTACTACTACTACACCACTACTACTACTACTACACTAGTCACTCTCGACTACCACTACACCACGATACTACACTACTACTACTCTCTACTACTACTCACCACCACTCACTACTACTACTACTTACCACCACTCACAACTACTACTCACCACCACTACCACTCACTCACCACTCACTCACCACTATACTAGTCAGCACTCACCACTACTCACTCATCACTATCCACTCACCACCATCACTCACCATTACTCACCACTACTCAGCACGATTCACTACTACCTACCAACCGATACTCACCATCACTCACCACTGATCACTACGACTCACCACAACATTAAACAAAGACAAAGATCTCCCGTGTAGCCTGTAACATACTGGTGGGGCAAGTGCTGTTAGCGAGCTCCAATGGAGGCCGGCACTGTGGCACACGAGGGGTGGGTGGCCAGCACCACGCCCGACCGCCTTTGTCTCCCCTGTGGCGATGTTTACACACCGCACCAGGCACTCATTTCAGGCTGAGTCGACCTAGGGGAGGCGCAGGATCGGTTCAGATAATCGTCACCGGTGTTGGCCGTGAGCGGGAATCGAATCCGGGTCGCCAGGTTCGTAGCGCAGCGCGCTAACCGCTACACTACCGCTCCCCACACACACACAGACACACACTGACACAAACACACAGTGACACAAACACACGGTGACACACACACAGTGACACACAGTGACACAAACACACAGTGACACACACACAGTGACACAAAGCACTGACACAAACACACAGTGACACACACACAGTGACACAAACACACTGACACAAACACACAGTGACACAAACACACGGTGACACACACACAGTGACACACACAGTGACACACACACACAGTGACACACACACAGTGACACACATACACTGACACACACACAGTGACACACACACAGTGACACACATACACTGACACACACACAGTGACACACACAGTGACACACCACCCCCCCATACAGCTCGACTGTTAGGACAACACTTTACTGGACATCTGTGAAAAAGAGCTTTATAGCTCATCGGATTCATCCAGTAAATGTATAAATAAAGATTCTGATTGCAACACACGGCAGCGGCAGCAGCAGCTGGAAACCACCGAGCAGCGCGCCAGGTGGTGGCAGCCCGAGCCAGCGGCCAGGGCAGTGTTCAGTGTTGACGCGCGTGTCGCCACCGTGCGCAGCCACCCGCACTGCCGCCACGCTGCCGCATGCCGAGATGCAAGTCGCAATGTATTATTGGCTTCACGACGGTACTCGCTTTCATTTCGGTGGCCAGGTCACTCTTTGCAATTGGCACTCATCTGCCTACTTGTAATTGTGTCGACGCACTTTTAAAATGCAATTGTTGTTTAACCCGCAGTCTTCCTTTTCGCGTTAGCATATTGTGTGTGTATCCCGCACGCGTATTCTCGTCACCCATATATTCATGAAATCGTTATCATTCTCGTACACATTGCGATCAACAGTCACGGCAGCACAAAGCAATTCTCAGAAATCAAGACAATGCCTTTGCAGTGCCTCTGCTAATTAAGTGGCATCCTTCCTCGCCATCACACGCTTTTGGTTTCCGAGTAGCCCTTGACAAGAAAAGGAGTCTCTCAGCTCGGGAAGGACACTCCTCTCATCGCCGCTGCTTTGCCCCTGGGTCGCGCACCCGTGCGTGCAGGATAAAGTACCGGGAAAGGGCTCGGCAGCCTCCTTGCAGGGTCATTTGGACATCGCCATCATCTGACACTTGTGGTGGAAGCTGATCGCAGGGACGTCCCACCGCGTGTATTTCTGCGCTGCGACCCATGCCGCTGTTGCATGGCGCGTAGTATTGTATCGAGGCGTTCTCGTGACCTCGCTGCCACTATTTCCAGTTTGTAACCCGCGATGGTTTTTGGTTTTCGGCCAAAACTTTCTCCAGAACAATAACTGGCACAGAGGTGCCTCCTTGCAAACGTTAACAGCTACTTTTCAAGAGCCCTTTGATATGTTCTTGCTATGATCGCGGGCATCAAGGGATGTTTAATCTCCATGTATAGAAAAGGCAAAGTTGTGAATGTGTCTGTTCAAAATGTGTATTATACTTCCCGACATGCAACAAACTTTAAATTTGCCATGTGGGTACTTTCCAGCCTGTACACTTTTTTGGGGGGGCTCAATGCATCCATTTTTTGCACGGCAATTGAGCTGTGACGTCACATCTGTCACGTGACCCGCGTGTGTGGAAGGGTAACGCGTTGTAGTGTAGTGGTTAGCGCGCTGCGCTACGAACCCGGCGACCCGAGTTCGATTCCCGTTCACGGCCACCACCAGTGACGATTATTTGAACCGGTCCTGGGCCTCCCCTAGGTCGACTCAGCCTCAAACCAGTAACTGCTGTGGTGTGAACATCGCCACTGGGGAGACAAAGGCGGCCGGGTGTGGTGAATCCAAGTCCCGGGTGAAGCCGGGTAGGAAAGCTAGTATTTAGGGCAGGACGCATCACGGTTAGGAGGTGGTCGAGACTTGCGGCGGAGTGGAAGGCCAAGGAGAAAACGCGCCCAAGAGGACGGCCACCGCAGTTGGATCGATGTGGTTCGTGTCGTGCAGGTGCCACAAAGGGGCCTGGGACGCAGTGTCCACTGATCGTGATTGGGAGGCCACCATACAAGGATAAGAACCACGAGTTTACGTTTAATTTACTATTTAAAAAGCTTGCTGCAAAATGTGAAACTTTTGCCAATGTCTTTTTCAGCCAATAAATTAGTGACAGGAGAACGGTAGGGTGTAGAGAGCCATGAGACTATAATGGAGTAAGTAACACGGCCAGGCACCACTCACAAAGAGCAGCCGAGGGGACACAGCCCTCTTACCTGGCTACGCGCGGGCTAACATCTCACATTCAACCGAAGTTAGTTTTGTTGGTAGGCGTTGTCCACGTATGTATTGGAAGATACATCTTGTAAATAAAACGGTGTAATATTTCCTCTGCAAAACATGGTGAAAAAAACATGACAGACACAACAAGGACACACATCGTGCCGATCGCGTATTTACGTGATTGGCGTTCATGTAGAAATGCCACCTTTCCCACAAACCAAACCCAGACATATTCGTCAGTCAGAATATATATACAAAAACCGTGCAGTTTACTGTAATATAATTCAGCATAACATAGGTACCAGACCTCGTGGACAAAACAATTATCGCCACCCGAACACATACGCCAATTCAAGGATTGTCCGGGTCACATGCCAACAGGTGGTGACCCTACACTCATAGCAGGGAACTCCCAGATCAGCATGGCCACAGGTTGGCATAAACGTGGGGTGATCTGAGAGGCAGTGGGAAGATCATGCAGAATTAAGGCATACTCTGCTGATGGGAAATTATTGTAACTGAAGTTATGGAAAATAGAATATCGTATTCAGCAGTGATCAGATGCTTTTGTCTCCTCAGGAAATGTATTTCCTGCAATATATTGGAACACTTTTTTTGTTACTGAGAAACCGTCGCTTGTGTATAATTTTCAGCTCTACATCCTCATTTCCTCTTTCTGCCGATCTCGCAAACTGCTCCACAATAAACAGCCACCTTTCGAGACCCCCTTTTCGTGGCCAAAGTTTGGAACACTGCACTTGATAATCAAACTGTATTTCTTAGCAATAATCGTGCAAAAAATTGCAATAGGCATGAACAATAAAAGTGAAATTGTAGGCAAAATAAATTCCCGTTGTAACAAATTTCTAGCAAAGACATAATAAACGAACACATGAAGAACATCCTAATTAAAAACAAGTTTAAAAAAGTAAGTTTTTAGATTTATTTTAAAAGTGCTTAATTATTCTGAAGCCCTCAGATCCCCTGGCAGGCTGCTTCACAGGCGAGGAGTGTAAACACTAAAAGCTGCTTCTCCCTAGGGTTTGGTCCTGGCCTTTGGGACGACTAATAGACCAATACCAGAGTATCTGATGGATCTTGTTGGTTCATATCTAAAAAGCATGGAAGACTTGAAAACAGGTGGCAGACCATTCAACGACTTAAAAACCAATAGAATAATTTTTAAATAAATTATTTGACTGACTGGCAGCCAGTGCAAGGATAGTAAAATGGGTGTCACGTGGGTGCTCTTTCTGGTTTTCGTCAGAACACGTGCCGCTGCATTCTGAATTGGTTGCAGTTTACTTATTAATTTCTTCGGAAGACCAGAATGAAGAGCATTGCTATGAAGGGTAACGTAGCGATTTACCCAAATCATAACGTGTTTAATCAGTGTTTACAAGCCGCCATAACATTTGGTTCAGAAACACGCTCATCAACGAAAGACGACTTATCGAACACAGACTGGATAGTTGTGTAAAGAAGAATGGAGACGAATGCTTGGAATTACGCGGATAGTCAGAAATAGGAGCACGTGGATTAGAGAACGCACGCTGGTTGATGGCATCGTCCAAACCACGAGGAAAATCGTGGCCTTGGGCAGAACGCACCGGCTGGCTGGGCTCCGGACAGATGGATTCACTCACGAGATGGGGCACAGCAGCCGGGCAGCCTTCACATTACCCGGCTCCCAGTTTCCTCAGCGAAAATGTAGGCGACCTATTTATGAATGTCACGTTCGCAACCGTTGCACAACACTGTCATTTAGCAAGGCCATAGTGATTTTAGAGGTATTGTGTACAGGTTGGATTCCTGTAGAGTACAACGATTTAGCACCTTCCAGTAAAACTCGAACAATAAACTTCAATGGGCCACTGTGAACAATCCAAACGTGCGGCAGGAGGATATTGTAAACGTGAATTGCCCTGCCAATTGTTTCCCGGTCGCTTCGCGTGGGCACGTCGGATTGCCCCTCAGCCCCCGGAGGCTGAGCGCTGCTTCCCGGCACGGCGCCGGGACTCTCCCAGCCGTCGCTTTGCATCCCCGTGCGCCCACTCCAACAGGGCGCAACAACGCAGCAAGTTGCGCGAGCAAGTGCAAGAGCCGCTCTCAGCCTCTTCGTCCAGACCACCATATCAAAAAAATAACGAATGGCCATTTGGACGTTTAGTCCACCGACTAAAAAGCATTGGGAAAATGTGGCCGTCCCAACAGGCACCTTTGAAACGGACAACTATCGACCGGTTTCATCTTCCTTAGGACTCATCGTGCCTCTCGGAGCTGCATATATGGAGAGGACTCGTATTCCTTTACACTCTGGGGTCACTGGCTAGCACCTGCCTCAAGGAAACAATTCACACCTGTAAATGACAGTTTATGGTTGACCACTCTCTACTGGGGAGAGAGAGAGTGTGGAGTCGGTAGCGAGTTCCTCGTTCGAGACGGTGGTGGTGTCCCATGATTCCCGCCACTGTCTGTCGGCGTAGAAAGGAGCTCGCATTGAGGGCTTTGGCCGGCCCCCGCATGAGGTGCGACTTTGGGTTTGGGATTGAGAGCTGCTCGTGGGATGGGTCGCTCCGGGTTGTCCACGGCGCACTGGTACATCTGGAAGGTATGAGCCGCTCTTCAGTCCCTTTGATAACTTTGATTGTGGCATTTCTTTACAGCTTCTCTAACCCTATTGAAATGTGAATTGGGTCCAACAACGCATCCCTAAGTGATAATGCTGAGCATCATTGCATTGTCCTTCCTACAGCAGTCCTACCCATAATGCAACGTGCCAGCTGTATCATTTTACTCTTCATACAAATTTGTTTCATAACACAGTTTGGATTTTTAAGGGTGTGTCTGTTACTCAGTAGCTACTAATGGGTAACTATTCATATGCCAGTTTAAAAACTGGTTATATGAAAACATTTGAAAATTATATTTCTTCTTGATTCGAAGCTTTCATGACTGCAGGAATTCGTACTCTTTGGTTCTTTCGGTAAAGTCACGTAGGTAGAAAAAAATACTAATAAATCACGACGCTTCGATAGCAACACAAGCCATCGTCTTCGGGTGAAAAAATTATATACAGCAGGCGGACTGCTGAGGAGGAAATGTAGCGAGAGGGCGACTACAACCAAGGGTTATAGCCGTTTGTGGTGGGTACAGCCAAGGGTAAGTGGGCGGGGCTAGGGATGGAATTTGTAAGTAAATGTAACGGCAGAGAGGGGTGCGTGTCGGATAATCCGAGGAGGCGGAGGGGGGGAGCTGTCGCAATTTACAGAGGTAAAATGCTGATAGAGAGAAAATAATTCAAATTTATTCAAAAGCGATCATACTCAGCTCACAGTTTAATAAAACCAGTGCAATGTTTAGATTTGTCAACCCTAACAGAATTATAAAAGAATTGGCCAGTTGTATGCTTTAACTGTCACATTGTGTAAACGTGATTATTACTACGATATCGCTGAGAGGCAATTCGTAATTCCCTGTCACCAAGAAGCCGGCGTGCAGACTCTGGAACATGCACTCATGGGAACATTAGCAAATGTCATACTCTCCGCTGTCGCTTATTGTTATAAATTGAGTGTTTTTAACCATCCACCCAGAACCCCAACCCTCAATTACTCTGCTCAAGCCTCCACCAACAAGGCCATCGTCACCACGCGTCTCCCGCGACAACGAAAAGCATCTTTCATTTTATACGTTCCTTCCTTCGCCGTCCCTGCAGTAGCGGAGCCTCTCTTCTCCACCATCACCGCGCCGCATCTCGCTGTGGCCGTCTCGCGCAGCGGCTGCCGGAGACTTCAGGGGGCCATCTGCTTTAGCGAGCGGTACCGCTGGGGCTGGGCAGCGGACATCAGCGTCGTGTACACCGTCAAGCTGCGGGGCATCACGCTGGGTCAACGAGGGCAGGTTTGGCGATGCCGCCTTGGCAGTGGTGCACAAGCACCAGCAACAACACGAACTCGACACATTCATCAGTAATACTGTGGCCATATAAATGTATGATAGGCGACATTTCTGGCAATGGACCCTTTCTATCTAAACACCCCTCCAAACCTTTGATGTGTGCAATGCGCGTATATGTGTTGTTAATTTCGTTTTCCGGCCTGAACTCTTTCTGTTTCTTTACTTATTATTTATTTTATGTATTACTTATCTTTCTCATGCTACTCGTTGGGCGGTTGAAATTTACTTTTCTCAGTCAGTGTTAGCCGCTGAGGTGGTGACGGGTTTCTATCTTCATCCCTGTTGCTTTGTGCTGCCTGTCCCATTGCCATTCTGTTGTAATGTGCACCGATGCACTCCTTTATTGAGGGCGATATTGGCACTTAAAATAAAGATTGTATGTATGTTGAACTTCGTTCGCATTGTACGTAGCCAACCGTGCTAATCTGTTGTCATAGGTTTCCTTGTAATTTACAAGACTTGAATTCATTTTTAAAACCTTCCAACACCCCACTTCCACTCAGCATGCACCATTAATTTATAATTAAAATATCGAAATTTTTAACGTATTTTGTTACCAATATTTGCAGAAACTTTCATGCTGATATTGGTAATCTGTGTGGTTTTGTACGTTTCATTAACACGTCCAAAGTGTCTAAGGACGGATGGTTAGACATTAAGAAAGCCACAACTTCAAAAAATACATCTCGTAGTGGTGCATCATTGTGAGATTATTTTAAAGTACCATTGCATGTACTTACTTATTGAGAATTGGTTTCACAGACAGCACCTGAAATAGAAATGAAAGCATGTGAAAACTCAACTCCCTCCATGACAGTTCTGTCGCCTGTTAGGGCAAGAGCGAGTAAGTCCCGCTCACGTTGCCGGGGTGTGTGTCTGTGCGGTTGTGGTGAGCGCAATGTGCACACACTCCAGCAGCGTGAGTGGGACTTACTCACTCACGTTGCCGGTGTGTGTGTCTGTGCGCTTGTGGTGAGCGCAATGTGCACACACTCCAGCAGCGTGAGTGGGACTTACTCACTCACGTTGCCGGGGTGTGTGTCTGTGCGCTTGTGGTGAGCGCAATGCGCACACACTCCAGCAGCGTGAGTGGGACTTACTCACTAACGTTGCTGGTGTGTGTGTCTGTGCGCTTGTGGTGAGCGCAATGTGCACACACTCCAGCAGCGTGAGCGGGACTTACTCACTCACGTTGCCGGGGTGTGTGTCTGTGCGCTTGTGGTGAGCTCAATGCGCACACACTCCAGCAGCGTGAGCGGGACTTACTCACTAACGCTGCCGGGGTGTGTGTCTGTGCGCTTGTGGTGAGCGCAATGTGCACACACTCCAGCAGCGTGAGTGGGACTTACTCACTCACGTTGCCGGGGTGTGTGTCTGTGCGCTTGTGGTGAGCGCAATGTGCACACACTCCAGCAGCGTGAGTGGGACTTACTCACTAACGTTGCCGGGGTGTGTGTCTGTGCGCTTGTGGTGAGCGCAATGTGCACACACTCCAGCAGCGTGAGTGGGACTTACTCACTCACGTTGCCGGGGTGTGTGTCTGTGCGCTTGTGGTGAGCGCAATGTGCACACACTCCAGCAGCGTGAGTGGGACTTACTCACTCACGTTGCCGGGGTGTGTGTCTGTGCGCTTGTGGTGAGCGCAATGTGCACACACTCCAGCAGCGTGAGTGGGACTTACTCACTAACGCTGCCGGGGTGTGTGTCTGTGCGCTTGTGGTGAGCGCAATGTGCACACACTCCAGCAGCGTGAGTGGGACTTACTCACTCACGTTGCCGGGGTGTGTGTCTGTGCGCTTGTGGTGAGCGCAATGTGCACACACTCCAGCAGCGTGAGCAGGACTTACTCACTAACGTTGCCGGTGTGGGGCACAAGAGTCTAGGCCAGGAGTGGATAGAGCATCCTATAGAGATGGAGTCTAGGCCAGCAGTGGATAGTGCATGCAATAGGCATGGTGGACTAGAGGTAGTCTAGCCCAGCAGTGGATAAAGTATACTATTTCTAGAGGTAGTCTCGGCCAGCAGTGGACAGAGTGGAGGAGGTTGTGAGAGGAGTTAAAAAACGGGTGAGCATCGAAGAGTGTCAAAAAAGGAGCGATGGTGGACTAGAGGTAGTCTAGGCCAGCAGTGGGTAGCGCATGTGAGTCCAGCTGAGTCGCAGACGTTACCTTGGGAGCAACACTATTTATTTCGCATTAACACGTAACACAACACAATCTACACGAGAGGCCGACCGAAATTCGGTTTCGGCGCCGAAAGTTGGCAAATGGCTTCTTTCGGCATAGTTTCGGTTTCGGCCGAAAGTATTTTTTTTACTTGCGGTCTGGTTTCTTTTTCGGCCGAAGCCAGAAATTCAGTTTCGGTCGGCCTCTAAACTCCACGCGCTGCATGCGACTTCGGGCAGCGGCGACGGCGGCGGTGGTTGATGGCAGACGCTCCTCACTCTCTCCGGCGATCGCAAGCAGCGCACACACGCACACTCAAGCAAGGATGGGGGTGACAGCGAGGCCGAGACACAACAACAATTATAATGTGCAAACGTGCCGTGCGCTACCTTGAGGAGTGAGTGGAGGTTGATGTTGGTTTGGCCGGTACTGTTGAGAGCTTTCATGGCAGGAGTCCTGCAAGGGCGTGGGTTTGTGCAAGATTAGTGCCGAATGTTGATTTATAAACCACATCGGTAAGTTTTATGTATATGTGTAAAAGAGCGCAAAGTATTAACGTTTAATTTTATATATCGGGGCGTTGACGTAACCCAGCAGGGGTACATTTGCCGCTTATTTGCAGAGGTTTGCAGTCAACTCCAATGGGCCGCCCCGGTTATCGGTGCGGGTAGAGTAACAATTTAAATAAGCTTGGTACAGATTGCTAAATGCCTTGGCACTGATGGAGCACCTTAGTTCAAAGCTGCAGGGAACAGGCATACGAGGCAATATGGACCCCATTCCTTGAGAAGCCTGTATAACACGCAGTACCTGAACGGAATGAGGAAAGATAATGATCAGTGAGCGGGCGTTGGAGAGGCGGACTGGGACGTAGACGCCAAGCTACTCTATCACATTCTGAGGGACTGTTGTTCCCAGGAAGGAAAAACGCAGAATCAGATGTTATTATTTTTTATGATGTTATTTTTCTTTATTTGGTTATACACCCCCCATCCTCATTCTCCCCTCCCCCTCCCTACCCTTGTTAATCTTACCGTACATCTTGCGAAAAAGAGCGTCATAGCTCATTGGATTCCTCCAGTACAAAGATTCTGATTCTGAATCTCCAGCTCGCAATCATTGACCCGACCGCTGGAGGGAAGAGAACTCGGTGAACTCTAACCGGCGCCCACTCAGGGGAGAATCGCCCAGAGAGTGCAGCTTCCGTGCACATGTTTCCCGCATGCGAATTTGTATGACCTCCATTGTGTTTGTGTTGCGGTTTCAATGAAAAACAAACTATTAAAATACGCACCATCCAGCCCAGCTGGATGTTGAAGATTTAATAACGTCATCCGGCCAGTGTTCCTGTGTCCTGGTGACAATTTGCCACATTTTCAAAAGATACTCTCAATTTACTTGACGGGGAATCACAAAGCATTTGTCGCAAAAGCTTGGCAGGACCCTGCTACAAAGGGATCTTGAGACTCAGCGAGGCTTTCCTGGGTGAACAATCGTACAGGAATCTCCCGCAATATGTAAGGAATGTGTTCCTGGGAAATGCTACTGAACTCATTACTTAAAGCAAATCTTCATTTCCATTAGACATGTTAAAATCAGGGGTTGCATTCCTGACATTTCTAGAAACAAAATTATGACTAAGTGTCATGAAATGTACAAAAATGCACGTGATTAAGTAAACACATTTTAACTAATAATACAAATAATTAGTTAAAACTTATCATAAATGGTTGAAGAGTTACCCTGATTTTGATCTTTAATCCAGACATATTTTCTAGAATTCCACAGCTGCTAAAAAAGTTATTTTAGTGGCAGTTAAAGGTGCCACATTTTGAGCACATTCTAGGACTTTCCCGGCATTAACTCGAATGCTTAAATCACCTGATTCACCAGCTTAAAAAACGCTTCAAAACTTCTAATTTTATCTCGAGATTAATCATTTTCCTTTTCCTTTTATTGCCAGAGCCACGATCATCATTCGCTGTGTATTTTGCACTCGTATTTCTAAGCCCTTTGTACTTTTGAAAAAACTTTCACCTTATGCTGTAGTTCTATCTAAAACGTTGCTCAATGACCGAACACACACAATGGCGGAATGGCAGACCGAGGCAGAGCACATGGAGGCATTCCAGCGGTACGTACTACGGCGCGTAGAGTACTGCATTACATACCAAAACAGTCTGTTCTCACCATTTACATTCCTTTTTTGCCTAATTTTGAAAAAGAACACGTATGCGAAACATTACACTTATAAGGAAATATGTTCCCAAATTAATAAGCAATGTTTATTTGCGAAACAACGCATAATGCAGCAACTTATAGAGGGGGGTTCCTATACAGTATCTGTATACAGAAGTCTCGCTTAACGAAGTTCTTTCTACAAGAATTCGCTATTATGAGCAATTTGAATTTCGACCAATTTGTTCGCAAAACGAGCAAAATGTTCGCTTACTGATTGATTAATATGCGTCTCGTGGCGACAGGGGGCACACGGTGGCCCGCAGCTGTTTGTTTACCAGCTGTGCTGTGCTGCGTGCCCCCCTTGTTTCATAGGGTGGGGGAGGGGGTCCCCATGCCATTTCTTGATTTGTTATTCAAGTTGTTTTTCCTTCGGGTTTTCATTAACTAAATCGTTGTAATAACTAGGATTTAGCCCATATATATAATTTTTGTACAGCGTTATAAAATGTGATTATTATTGCTATCATTATTGGGGAAGATAATCCCATCTGTAAGGACGGACTGCCCTCTAGGATAAACTTAAGTTTCCCCAAAACCTTGTAAACTCACTACTACACTGTAAATAGATATCAGGTAAAGTTTGTATTGTTTGCCCAATAAAGGTTCACTCATATAGTATATACCCACTGAAGGGTACTTAGTCTACTCTTTGCTGACGAGACGTCTTGGAAGAGGTGTTTGTACCCACATTTTAGCCCCCCCCCCCCACCCCACCAGCTTTGTGGTGTAACTATTTAGACTGCTGGGTGAAATGCGGCAGATTTAAGAAACTTTTCCCAAAGGTTCAACTGCCTCACCAGACGATGGAATAAAACCAGCGACCTCTCAATTACAAGGCCAGTGAGCTAACCGTGACACCACCGTGGCTGCTGCCTTCATTTCACCATTATGATGCTAAAGATGTGACACGTGTTACTCTGAGCAATGTCTCTTTGTGCAGCAAACTGATAACCGATGTGCAAAACAAATATCCGAGAACATCGCGAGATTGTGCTCTGTGTATGCTCACCGTCGATCATCGCGTGCGGGAGGAGCCTTCCAGTGATCGTAGTTCGTCTCCACGAGGTACCATCTGTGACACGGACATGGCATGCAGAGGGCAGCGTGCAGAAACATTTATTGCTATGCCCTCAGGACCCGCATGGCGTGGGAAGGCTCTGACCCAGCTGCGCACTGGTAAAAGGGCAGTGCATGAATATGTTGGGAGATACTCTTTGTTTTTTTTGGTAAAGTCACGTAGGTAAAAAAAATGAATTAAATAAATGAGAACTAAATTGTTGGGAGATGTCAAACGAGGCCAGCAACAAATCTCGGAGTGATACAGGTGAAGGGGAACTTGGTGCAATATTGCCACAGAAATATAGGTGCACACAAAATAAACATTGAGAGAGAATGTAATTCAATTTGAAACTCATACCATGAGAGCGTAATATAGATGTTGGGCTGAAACTATTTAATATACTGCATAGACCAGCAAACAATGCTATGCTGATGAACATCATATGCAACCCTGTTTATTGGTCTTATGCTTTGTAAGGTGAAACACATTGCAGATGTAATGTTAATCATTGGCCCAAGATAAATTACAATAACATTTGAATACATGAATTCGCAATGGTTAACATCGCATTTTAAAGTGCTTGGTTGCTCTGACTTTCCGGATCTTATCCTGACGATGCTTGGCGCAGTTTCACGTGAACGTCGTATTTAACTGCTAAATATGTTTGTGAGGATTGTCCGTGAACTCACCAGTGAGCTGAAAAAACGCTTGCACACGCAAATATTAGTTTGACTGTGTAAGGTGATGGAGGGTTATTAACGGGAGCGATTCGGCCCCACCAACATGCGCTAAAGCCACACATCAATTATGAAGCATTATAAGTTATTATTATTATTGTTTGTTTACCCAGGAAAGCCTCCAATACATCTTTAAGAGACAACTTTGCATGGCAGCATCGGTGACACGCATGTTACATGTGTTACTGACATGCCCTGGTGGGGCTGCAGGAACCAAGTATCCACGGCAGCCTCTCTGCGACGAGTGATGACAGCCCCCTCACCGGGATTCACACCCCCCACGATGAAGTACGTGTTTGAGATGAGAGGGGGGTGGGAGAGAGCCACCACAGCAGACTTGAAGTCTGTGGCTGTGGACAGAGTCTACATGCGTGCACACACACAACAAAAAAGACAAAGATCCCCCGTATAGCCTTAACAGACTGTAGGGGCAAGTGCTGTTAGTGAGCACCTATAAAGGCCGGCACGGCAACAGGAGGGGGTGGGTGGCCAACACCACGCCCGGCCGCCCTTGTCTCCCTAGTGGCGATGTTTACACATCGCATCAGGTACTCATTTGAGGCTGAGTCGACCTAGGGGAGGCCCGGGACCGGTTCAGATATTCGTCACTGGTGTTGGCATTGAGCGGGAATTGAACCCGGGTCGCCGGGGTCTTAGCACTGCGCGCTAACCGCTACACTACCGCTCCCCACAACACAACACACACACAACAAACACACACAACACACACACACAACACACACAACACACACAACACACACACAACACACACACACAACACACACACAACACAACACACACAACACACACACAACACACACACACACAACACACACACGAGGGGGCTGTCATCGCGCGTCGCAGGGAGGCATAAACCATCACGCGAACTCTGGTCATCCTCGCAGCGGCATTTTGGCTAGCCATCAAACAAAGACAGTCACTGCATCGCGCGCTTTCAGATACGCTTCTGCAGCCATCTGGAATGCTCTTCCTTCCGATATTAGGAAGCCACTGGAGCTACGCACTTTTAAATCATCATCTAGATTGACAAACTCGATTCTTTAAAACTGCTTTGTGTTTAATTTGTTGCCCTTCCCCCACACCTCCGGTTATGTACGGTGTGAAAGAAGTGCGACATAGCACCCTTTACCAACTCAGACTCATAACCAAACCATACAAGCACAAAGATGGTCGCAAATAACTAAGTTTTTACCAAACCGAGCAAATGTGAATAAATCAGTATTCATGATTCATAATAAATTTTTGGGTCAGATTGTGTTTGTAAAATGTGTGTCGTAAACCCTCCTATCAGCAAAACGTCGGGCGACCCCAATAGTGTGTGTGGATCGCTGTCCAACACAGTGGTGGTGCTGATGAAGCAGTGATACACTGGCACATTTGTTCATCACGTGACAACTGTATTAATTAGCTGTGTTGGGTGGAGGAGGGTCTACGATATACATTTTACTCTACTCATGTGGCGATCGGATCCAAAAATGTATTACGAATCATAATGTTGGTCGCGAAAGTCTATGCATTAAATCAGTATTGTCCCTGTAATTAAGGAGGAGAGAGAGAGAGAGAGATGATGGGGGAAAGGCAATTCCAGATCCTAGAGAGGAAAAAAGTGGCCTCAAGTCATGCAGAGAATGATAGGAGACCTCCTCCTTCGAACAAACAAGGCCAAGCTGCCAAAGACCATTGATGGTGACAGATGAGGCGACAGCCTGGACTGCACACAGGCAGGAGGAGCAGCGCCACTCAGGGCAACAGCACGTCAACGCCGCACACCGAGCGTGCGGGTTGGCGGCACTCACGCTGCGCACGAGCCAGGTGACGACGTGGCCACGTCCCAGCAGAGCCTCGATCGCACTCTCCCACCATGAACCGCCGTCTTCACAACCAACGCACGTGTTCCCACGGCAGCGAGATTCACCGTGGGGTGAGAGGCAATGTGAAGGAACACGCAAGCGAACTGTGAGACTTTCACAGCAGAGAGACAACGAGAATCAAACTTTGAGATGACCCAGAAAACCTCCTGCACCCATGAAGCCAAATGTGGAGAGGACACGGGCATGGGTATGCCTTCATCCAGCAGTGGATTAATAAAGTGTCTGTAAGTTACGTAAATTGCTAAATTAATTTATTGGTGAAAGGCGGTAAAAGAGAAATATTGAGAATTAGTGTTTAGTGGATGAATGTTTGCTTTAATTACATATTAATTACACAGGCGTGTGGAAGTGGGGACTGCACATGTATTGTTCCCAGAGGCAGACTTTACAAAACCAGTTTCCGCTTGTTTTCTTTGTTTCACTCCTATCTACTGGGATGGCCACATTTGTTTAATTCTTTGAGTTGGTGGTCTCAACGACAACATGGCCATACATTCTGTTATTTTAAGCTGGTGGTCAGGATGAGAATGAGCATTTTTTAAAATATGTAATGCTGCATTCCCTGAGACTCGACAAGTATTAAAGTGTGCACTACTACACCCAATTCGATACGGGAAACTGTCATCTATGGTCTTTGATGTGAAAGCCCAATGCACTGACCTCTTGCATCGATAGACAGCGTGAACTTGTCAGGTCGCTGGCCATTTGCCACTCCAACGTTGCCAACAAATGTCGTCCCTGTAAACGAAACCTGCAAAAAATAATGTTAGGTTACGCGACAGTAATTCTTCGATAACCAATTACGTTGAACCTGAATCAAAATATGCGTGGATAGTATTTTTTTTAAAGGAAATTAACAAACGCCAAGGTGAAATCACAACAAAACTCTGGGTAGGCTGTCATGGTTGTCCTGCTGTGCAGCTCTCTGTGCCATTTCGGGTACAACCGCGAAGTGTTGCCGCTGATGTTGCTGGACAGTGGCTTGGCATTCATTCTTCAGCCGTGAGTCACTTCTTGACAAAAGCGCAAAAGGTTACATCCAATAACATCAGCGAGCTTACAGTGATGCCACAGTGATACCAAGCACTTCACTCAAATGAAAAAGCCTTGCGATGTTCATCTGTCCTGTCTTCTTGCTTTGCATCTTTGTCAGCTCACTCTTGTAAAAGGGAATCTGGGTCCATTTCATATTTTTACTTTCTTACCAGGTAATGTCCACTGAGCTACTAGCTCTGTGTTAGAAGAGACTTGGACACAAATGATAGCTCAATGAAGTGGCGGCTTATCATGTGGAAATTTAAAGCAGTCAAATACTCTAAATGCATGTTTATAAATGTGGAGGGAAAAAACTCGAGGACCCAGAGAAAAATCCACGTGACCACAGGGAGAACTCCGTACTTGCAGGTGTCAGGGTTGGGATGAAACTCATGACCCCCTGTACACTAGGCGAGAGAGGTAACATCTCACCACTGCGGGGCCCCATGTGTTGGCGCAATGTCGAGGTGAGATCGAAAGTTATCCTTGTTTCACCAATCGAAATACACACGACCTTACAGGGGAAGTAAGTGGAGTTCACTTTTAACTTAGGAGTTTACCACATCTATAAAAATTCACCATCTAAGTTTCAGTTAGGGTACAGCAAGACATCTAATTTGGTGTTCGGCAGTATAGAAACACTAGTATTCGGTGCACCCCTAGTACAGTATGTACATTGTGAGCATACATACTACATTTAAGTACATTTTTTCTCCCTTCTCACAGTCGGTTCATGTTCACACCCTCAGCCGTTTATGAACATTCCTATCCCAAACACCGATGAGAGAAGTGATTCACCGAGGCAACCCTTGACCGGGATTTTAACTCACAACCTTTCCTATTGTGAGTTGAGCACCGTAATGATAGGGTCACATGGCAAGCTAAGTTTTAAATGCAGCACAGCGTCTATTGGAAAGCATTCTTCCGTATGTAACGATAGTTGTCTAGAGAACTCCTCTGAGTAAAAATCACGACGTTTCGGAGGCAACACAAGCTTCCGTCTTCAGGTGGTACCGTCACAGCCACGACAGCTGTATCAAGTAAATGAGAGATTGCAGGAGCTACCACTCCGTTTATATAATGGTTGAAGAAGGTGGTGGGGCAAGGGCCGCATACTTATTATTAATATGGTAAGGTGAGGCTTAAGACTAAGAATAGACTGCCTTTGTTATGGAGAGGTGCGGTTTGTGACTCAACCTGTGACAGGGAGACCACCACTAGACATGGTAAAACTGTGATGGTTGTCTGTCAAATAAGATTGGCAAATAAGTGTAGTTAAATCTTTTTTGCATGGTTAATCACATCTTTCCAATGATTACTCAGTTTGTAACCGTCATCACGGTTGAAATTATAATTATGTTTTTAATGTTTTTACCTATGTGACTTTACCGAAAAAACCTAAGAATATGAATCATTGCAGTCACGAAAGCTTCAAATCTAGAACTCCTCTGAGACTGCTATACCAGTTTAAATGGATTAGGTGTCATTTGAAAGCTCGTGATTTAATTTCTCTTCCCCAAAACCGTGCACTTGGAATCCATACTCTTTGGTTTTTTCGGTAAAGTCACGTAGGTATAAAATAAAATAAATCGCGACGTTTCGATTGCAACACAAACAATCATCATCAGGTGGGAAAAGCACAGCAACATTTTTTTTTCTTGCTGTGGTTTTCCCACCTGATGATGATTGCTTATGTTGCAATCGAAACGTCGTGATTTATTTTATTTTCTACCTACGTGACTTTACCGAAAGAACCAAAGAGTATGGATTCCTGCAGTCACGAAAGCTTCAAATCTACTTGAAAAACACTTTTAGTTAATTTTATTCCATTAACATTTTTTACCTCGAATATCCCTTAAGGTGAAACATCTCGCTAACAAGGGTGTCCAGCGTGTCAACTGGCACAAGCATAGCAACACGCAACGCACAAGTGCGCAAACATTTGATCAACTCGTGTTTGTGTGGTCGAGACAAGATCAGGTTGGTTCATCGTATGCATGTGTGCCAAACAGCCCACGTGGCTTCAGCTGCCAACTCCAACACACATTTAGATTACTCTTCTAAACTAGTTGAAATGAACACTATGAAAGCGCGTGGTCCTTGCCTTTCCGTCACGAGTGAAGTCGATGTCCACGCTGATATTCCGCAGGAAATCTGTGTAGAGGTAGTCGAGGTTGCGTGCGTGGTAAATATTCCCAGCAGTGTCCTGAGCCACTATACTCGTGCAGAACCTGGCTTAAACAAACCACAATTTGAGTGCTAAAAGAGCGATAGAGACATTCACACAGCAAGGATTCTCGACATTTATGCTTAAACAAGATAAGTTTTCCATTCTGTAAATAATGTGAAAACACATCACAACAGAAAATATTGGTGCAGGCTGGGAAACAAATAGATGTCCTGAAACAACACACAGCCACGTGCAAGCTTATCGTGACGGCTGACTCTAGAATGTATGGTCTCGACAACAAAATATCCATACATTCGGTCCTTGTCGAGCTGGGGGTCTATACAAGTTTGAGAGCTTTTGTACAAACAGTGTGCATCTTTTTAAAAAAAAACAGTTTTTGCAATGGGTATTATCTTAAAATATTGTGAACAAACTAGCAGTTCAATGCTTTTCATTAGCAAACCAAGTGTATATGTTTAAAGCAAATAGGACTTACATTTTGAATTCATTGAAGATATTAAGTATGACCATGTCACCTAGGTCGATCGACAAGAGAGAAGATAAACCTCGAATTTCCTCGGCAAAGGGAATTGGGAAAAAACGGTCCAATTCCCGAGCCACTTTCCTGACAACTGGTCTCACCCATGCAGGAACATTGTCCCTGGACCACGCACAGCAAGCAAGTGACACACACACATATATATGAATTATTAGTACCATATAAAAGCAAAGCATTGTAAAACTACAGTCCAGACTGATGATATCACGAGGCTGGTTAAACTATATTGTCTTTTTAAAACCCAAATGTTTTGCTTTTAGCAATACATTTCTTTTTCACAAATACTAATTTCACATTTTAATCAAGCTGCAAATTCTTACATCCAGGAAGCCAACAAATGCAACTCAGACTGCCTTATAACAAAGTGTGACTAACAATCCTCTCCCTTCCAAAGTGTCTTTACAAGTCTATCACTTATTATTCAGAACTAATAATCAAATCATTACCAATAAATATTTTGTGCATTTAAACAAATACAAAACATTAAGAAATAAGTGAATAAAGCAATAAACTCTTTGGTTCTTTTGGTAAAAGTAATTAACCTTACTATTCTTTAACAGCAGTCTATGTTTTTGTTGTGTATTGTACAATGCTAAAACACGGGGAAGAAAACTCTAACCCATGCATAGATTCCGCAACACTTTATAACTCGCCTTTTGTCCTCCAAAGTGATTCCTTACCGATATTAATGTTACGATCCAAGCCGCACGAGGAGATGATGTCACGCGTAGCAGCATCATCTCACGATGCCACACACAAAATAACATCATCAACTTGCATACTCACGCAATTATCTTGGCAGAATGAGACCGAATCATTTCAAGGTCAAAATGTGCAACGACATCCTTCCACCGCTCCGACGGCGGCAGATCCAAGTTGACAGTGAAGCGTGGAAGGGGAGGCCCCGTGGTGGTGGAGGTTGCGGTAGGGATCGTCATTAAATGGGTAGCCGCTTGTCCAGAAGATAGCAGCCAGGGAGACCACAGCAAAAGTAGATATGCAAATCTTCCTTGCATCTTGACTGCTTCAGCTGGATGGAAGATACAATGGCAGATCAAGAGTTTGGGTTTATATTAAAACGATAAAATGTATAACACAGATCTGAAAATGTATGAAACGTTACAGAAAATGGCATGAAGACCACAGAACCAGACATTTACATCCTTAAATTTGCGTTGCATTCTTATTGATTCACTAAACGTATTCTATGGTTCTTTCGGTAAAGTCACGTAGATAGAAAAAATTACAATAAAATAATAAAAATAAAGTGAATTAAAATATCACGAAGTTTCAGTGGCAACACAAGCGGTCGTCATCAGGAACAGGGAGGTTAGCCTCTGAGGGCAGGCTGTTAATAAAGGTTTAGAGATGGGCGGGGCAGCTAATGTTATTGTAGAAGAAAGCTCCGACACTGGCAGTAGCTCTACACCAATCAAAGATTTTTCCAAGACTGAGGTACTCTGCAAACCTACTGGCTACCTTCAGAGATTTGTTCATGAAGCCATCCAGATATATAAACACAGACACAACTTCAACCGAGAGGATGGGTACAAACTGAGCAATCATTGGAAGGACGTTATTAACCAGGTAAAGTATTAACTGACTGCGATGTTTCCATCCTACCTGCCTATGTGAGCTGTTATTTCTGACTCTATGTGTCTCTCTCTCTATGCCTCTCTCTTAGATCTCTCATGCTCACATGTCCTTTGCATTGCACTCTCATGCCTTTGGATTGCACTCTCATACTCACAGGCCCTTTGGATTGCAACCGTTGGGTTGCACTCCCTAGTCGAGGAGGCCGCTCTCCTCCTATCTTACAGTTATATGCTAATTTATCACATTAACATCACGCTAATCTCTCACATTAACATCATGCTAATCTCTCACATTAACATAGCCACGTCCATGCCCTCGTCGAGTAGGCCACTTTCCTATCTTACAGTTACATGCTAATCTAGATTTGAAGCTTTTGTGACTGCAGGAATCCAATCAAGGGCATCTCTAATCAAAGGCATTTCACTGTCCCGGATGATTTGCTCATCAGCTTTGATGTAGTTTCTCTGTTCACCAAAGTTCCTGTACTGGACACCTTAGCAATAATTGAAGACTTAGTCCAACATGGACTGAATCCTGATGTACCTACTCTGGTTAGGCCATCCAGATATACAAACACAGACATAACTTCAAACGTGATGATGGGTACAAACTGAGTAATCATCCCCACACAGATTCCTATCTGAAACCTGATTCCCACCACCATCCGGCACAATAGAATTCCCTTATCAAAACACTACACCATAGGGCCCAGTGCATTTCTGACCAACACCACCTCGCCAGTGAACTGGAACACGTACACCAGGCCCTCAAGATAAATGGGTACTCGGACCGCATTATTCGCAATGCTGTTTCTCCAACCATGGAGAAACAATCCCCTGAGAAGCCAATCAAAACCATCATGTTACCATACATAGCAGGCGTTACCAAAAATATTTCCAAAATCTTAAGCAAACACAAGATCCAGGTCCGATTCAATACAGTACACAAAATCCGTGATCTAATCCCATCTATATTCTTGATTCTCTCGGTAAAGTCACGTAGAAGGGAAATAATAAAATAATGATTGCTTGTGTTGCAGTCGAAACGTCGTGAGAATGTTATTATTATTTCCCTTATACGTGAGTTTACCGAAAGAACCAAGAATATGAATCTCTGCAGTCACGAAAGCTTTAAATCAAAATCTAATCCCATCTGTGAAGGGTGTCATTCCTGACATGCAATATCCTTGAGTTTGCAAACTGAGTTGTACCTGCGAACACAAGGCAGATCTGAAACACGGCAGAACCAACACCTCTGCCGTAGCTGACCATTGTTATAACGCTGTGGGCTCGCATTATATTGTTTTTTTTTCTTCCGAAACCAAGTTACTCTGAAAACTTTCGGGCTACTATCAAAGGTTTGTTCATGAAGCCATCCAGATATATAAACATAGACATCACTTCAACCGAGAAGATGGATACAAATTGAGCAATTATTGGAAGGATGTTATTAACCAGGTAAAACCCTAACTGCTTTATGCTTGTTGTCTTTCATATCTACCGGGTACTAGTAATTTTTTCCGCATCCCCAGCTCTCTCGGCCTCTCACTTCCAGCCCGCCCACTCCCCGCCCCCCAGCCTCACGTCCCTCTCCTAGCGTCCACGCAGCGCTCCCCTACCCCACACTCACCCCCCTCTCTACCTCCTAGCCCCTCCCCCTTTTTTATCTATATAACCTCTTACCACAGCAGCTGTCTCTCCCACTTCAGAAAAAAAATTCTTGCTGTGGTTTTCCCACCTGATGATGATTGCTTGTGTTGCAATCGAAACATCGTGATTTATTTGATTTTATACCTACGTGACTTTACCGAAAGAACCAAAGATTGTAGTTACATGCTAATTTCTCACATTAACATCACTAGCCCCGGTCACTTCTTTATGACTCTTGGGCTACACCCATTTCAAACCTTTTAAAACAGTCTCCATCAGCAGCAAACCATGTTTTACCACCTGATGATGGACGCTTGTGTTGCGCCCGAAACGTCGTGATTTATTTTATTTCATACGTATGTGACTTTACCGAAAAAACCAAAGAGTATATAATCAAAGAGCTGTTTATAAAGGTTTAGAGATGGGCAGGGCAGCTAATGTTAATGTAGGAGAAGACTCCGACACCGGCATTCAAAATGTTCCATTATGTTTCGTATGAAAGCCGAGCATGTGAACACAGCATCACTTCCTGTGGCAGCAGAGCCAGAGTCTGATTGCATGAATGCAACAGTGACAACATGGGGCATCTCGAACAGGACTCGTAGCTACGAGGTTAGCACGGTCAACGCTGCTAGACCCCACGGTTGAGGCCTACCTTGTAGCGTGTCCCAGTAACCTGCTCGCTACCCTAACACACACTATATTGTTAAACACAGCTGGTTCAATGCCAAACACAGGACCAAACGGTCTATGTCGTCAAGTGGCCAGCAATAAACAGCACTATGATCGTTGTATTAGTTTAACACATTTCTTTAATTGTGCAATATATTACAAGAGTATGAGAAAAGAGACGGTGGGATGTAATTCCGACGTGCAGTAGTGGAGGGAAGAATCAGCAAGATAAGTGTTGTGACCTGCAGTGTCGCAAGTAGGAATGAGTAGGTGGGTGTGTGATTTGGTGGGTAGGTGTGCAAGCGAGTGAACAAGCGTGTTGTGACCTTCAGTGTGTCGATTGGTTGGAAAGAGGACAGATGAGATGAAGCAAATCTGTCTGGTATGTCTCGTGTGCCAAGATTTACCCGTGGCTGGAACATCGTGTTCAGTACAGTCTGTAGAAACACGATCATGATTGCTGTGCGTGGACACTGTGGTCTCTGTAATGTAGGTGCAGAGGTGCGGTAGACATGGGTCCTACCCACCGTGTGTAGCAGCAGCGGCTCGGGAGCAGTCACCTTGGCACTCGGGCAGCAGTGGTGTCGGGTGATCGTGTTGCTGATCGTGGTGGACTTGCAGGTCAGACTCTGCCCTGTTGACGCACACAGGGCGTGTTTACGACAGCGGTGGAGATTTGTCATGAGATTATCATTATTACTCTGCTTGTTTACCGAGGAGAGCCTCAACTGAGTATCAAAACTTTTCCAGGAGTGGCCTGCCAGGTTTTGTCAGTAGGCGGCGATGTTGCAGCTGCTTTGTAATCACAATTCAGTAGTTAGCAGGTAATTTTTTCAGCATTGGGATGTTTTGGTCAAAATCAGTAACATTCTGTATGGGGTTTAGCTATGGGAGGAAACCGGAGAATCCTGAGGAAAGCCATGTAGGACAGGGAGAGAAAAAACTCCACACACACTCTGCAGAACAAGGGGAGCATAAACTCTACACACACACAACCAGCTGCCATTCGCCACGAAGTAGCAGTGGCATTACCACAGCGCTTGTGCCAGGTTAGGTTCACTTGGAGGTTACGTGAAGTGTTGAAGGCTCGCTGGCAGGTTGCAGAACAAACCCAGGTGGCATGGGTTGATTGATCAAAATGATTTGACAGATGTCCCACCCAATGGTGGAGCCAGGATTTTCCGGTAGGGGGGGGCAACCCCTCCAGCAATGAAAAATGATAGAGGAGTTGTTAGTAAGTAAGGACTTGTCCCTCGCTTTTTATTCGACGCGTGTGCGGCGATGGCGCAGCCATCGATCGAGGATCGAATCGAACCGCGTCGTGTGATCGGCATCGCGCTCGCTGAAGGTGAATGCATTCAGGGAAGTCGTGTACTTTCTTTACGTAACTGCGCACAATTCTGAGTCACTTATAACCGCTTTGCCGTAACTTATTGCCAATTATGGACTCAGACTATTGTCCTATCATCTCATAGAGTCCCTGGCACGTAATAATATGCTACACAGTGGCAGTGGGGGTTGCAAAATGGCAATTTATTACTAATAAACCCCAATGATCCGATCGAAATTATGGATTTCGATCGGATCATTGGAGGGGCACGTGCCACCCCCCCCCCCCCCCAACTTGCTGCGTTTTATCCACCAGGCTCTTCAACTCGTTGTGAATATCGCTCCTCCTGCCCTCCGTTGTTGAGGGAGGGCAATTGCCTCCAACTGCCAAGCAGCATCCTTCACGATCCTTCACCGCTCGTACCGGTCTTTGGCAAATTCACTGAGTTCCACAGGCGCCGATACCGCATCGGACCATATCTTCACCAGCCCGTGCCGCGCCCGTTTATCCCCCTCCATCCGGCCAAACAGAAGCTGCGTGGACACGCGTTGGCTGGGCATGCGGGATCCGTGACCCAGCCGATGCATCCTCTCCTGCCGGAGGAGCTCACTGATAGGACCGTGTCCAGATTCTTCAAGGAGCTGTGAACTCAATATTCAGCCTGGTTATATAGTAGGCAGGCCAGCCTGAACGTTTAAAACCGGTGCAGATGTTGCTTCAGAGAGGTTCACGTTTAGCAAGCCGAGAGAAGGGAGAGGGAGGGCATGACTGTGCCTGAGAAGACCTTGCGCTTTTGTGTGCTCCCATCCCATCCCGGGGATAGGCGGACCCATACACCACTCACGGGCTCCTATCCCATACACCACTCACGGGCCCCTATCCCATACACGGGCCCCGATCCCATAGACCACACACGGGCTCCTATCCCATACACCACTCACGGGCTCCTATCCCATACACCACTCACGGGCCCCTATCCCATAGAACACTCACGGGCTCATATCTCATACACCACATAGGGCCCCTATCCCATACACCACTCACGGGCCCCTATGCTATACACCACATAGGGCTCCTATCCCATAGATTTCAGTTTCAGTTTCATTTATTAGGTATAACCCTGAGAGATCACACACGGGCCCCTCCCTATCCCATACACCACATAGGGCCCCTATCCCATACACCACATAGGACCCCTATCCCATACACCACATAGGACCCCTATCCCATACACCACATAGGGCCCCTATCCCATACACCACATAGGGCCCCTATCCCATACACCACATAGGGCCCCTATCCCATACATCACATAGGGCCCCTATCCCATACACCACATAGGGCCCCTATCCCATACACTACATAGGGCCCCTATCCCATACACCACATAGGGCCCCTATCCCATACACCACATAGGGCCCCTATCCCATACACCACATAGGGCCCCTATCCCATACACCACATAGGGCCCCTATCCCATACACCACATAGGGCCCCTATCCCATACACCACATAGGGCCCCTATCCCATACACCACATAGGGCCCCTATCCTATACATCACATAGGGCCCCTATCCCATACACCACATAGGGCCCCTATCCTATACATCACATAGGGCCCCTATCCATAGGCGTCACCTGAGACGAGTCCACGGGCCACTCCACAGCGGCGCCTTCGCTTCCAACACGCGCGCGGGTCCGGCCCTGCGCAGGAGACGAGTTGTCAATGCTGCCCCACCGCGGACACAGCGGCCCTGCTGCTGCCGCTGCAGTGCGGCCCTGCTACTGCGGGCCGCCGCTGCCGCTGCTGCAGTGCGGGCCGCTGCCGCTGCGGGGCGCTGCTGCTGCTGCTGCCGCTGCAAGGGCCCCTCGCCCACCGCCGTCTCATCACCAGGGGAGGGCACTGGGCCGGGGACGACCCAGAACGCCGTGGTTGGTGGTGGTGATGGAAGTTCCAGGCGCGTCTCGCTTAACGAGCGATGAATTAATTTTGGAGGACACATTATTCGGGTTGTGGCACCTCCCCCTAAGGGGCCGTTCATAAATGACGTAACGCACCTGGGGGGGTCAGACATTTGTGACGATGTGTGACGGGGGGGTGAGAAATGTGACGTCACATCAAAATACGCAACTTTAAATAAATATAGACAACACGTTCTACTTAATTAAATAGACTTTTTAATAAATGTTTTTTTTCCTACAACAGCAGAGTGCAGCGCCACATTGAATACGCACTACAATGACAATAGTTTAAAGCGATTTGAAGCATGTTTTATTTTGGGGGGGGGGGCAGAGCTTTGTGACGTCATATTTGGGGGGGTCTTAATTTTTGTGACACCGTGTGACGATGGGTGGGGGGGTCAAAAATCGTCCAAAATCGCGTGACGTCATTTATGGACGGCCCCTAACGTTCTAGCGCCTGAGAGTCGTGCGTGGTATTGATACATATTCACCTCTTTTTGGAAATTGTGCAGCTCCTACAATTCCAGAGACGCCACGATGGAAATGTTATATATATATTTAAGTGCAGCGGCGGGGATGACGTTCTTATGAAGCCAGACAAACACGCATCTCTGTGTCTGGCTTCACAATATTTCAGAGACAGAGATTCAAACATAAACTTGTCTACGCAGAGGGGGCGTCCATAAATGACGTCACGCGATTTTGGACGATTTTTGACCCCCCCACCCATCGTCACACGGTGTCACAAAAATTCAGACCCCCCCCCCCAAATATAACATCACAAAGCTCTGCCCCCCCCCAAATAAACCATGCTTCAAATCGCTTTAAACTATTGTCATTGTAGTGCGTATTCAATGTGGCGCTGCACTCTGATGTTGTAGGAGAAAATATTTATTATAAAGTATATTTAATTAAGTAGAACGTGTTGTCTATATTTATTTAAAGTTTCGAATTTTGATGTGACGTCACATTTCTCAACCCCCCCCCCCCCCCCCCATGTCACACATCGTCACAAATGTCTGACCCCCCCCCCCCCCCTGGGTGAGTGACGTTATTTATGGACGGCCCCAGAGAGACAAAGGGAGATGCAGATCGACCAGATGTGCTCCGTGTGCCGTCCCGACCTTCATCGGCACAGTACTTTAGCGGCACTTGCACCAACAGTCTGTGAAGGCTTCATGGGAATGTTGTCTTTACCATTGTATGCCACATTCCGGCAACGAGATTAGTTGTACGTGCAAGAGCGGTATCAAGGAGCCATGTGGAACGGCAGAGGTGTCAAGGTCCTCATCCGACAGTGAAGTTACCATGGCTGATGATGTTAAACTGTGACGCAATTACGGTGCGAGGAATTTCATGGCAAGACAGAATTCCGCAAGGGAATATGGTAGCTGTGTCGATATATTAGGCTATGGGGCCGTCCATAAATGACGTCACGCGATTTTGGACGATTTTTGACCCCCCCCCCCCCCCCATTCGTCACACGACGTCACAAAAAGTCAGACCCACCCTCAAATGACGTCACAAAGCTCTGCCCCCGCCCCCCCCAAATAAAACATGCTTCAAATCGCTTTAAACTATTGTTATTGTAGTGCGTATTTAATGTGGCGCTGCATTCTGATGTTGTAGAATTTTTTTAAGTATATTTAATCAAGTAGAACGTGTTGTCTATATTAATTTAAAGTTGCCCATTTTTACGTGACGTCGCATTTCTCAAACCCCCCCCCGCGTCACACATCGTCACAAATGTCTGACCCCCCCCCCCCGCCTTAGGTGCGTGACGTCATTTATGGGCGGCCCCTAAAACGGGGGCGACGCTGGGACTTGTGCAGGATGGGGGAGGGCCGATTCCCGAACGGGCATTGGCGTCGACTTTGCGAGTCAGACAACCACGAGTCAGACAACCACGAGTCAGACAACCACGAGTCAGACAACCACGAGTCAGACAACCAAGAGTCAGACAACCACGAGTCAGACAACCAAGAGTCAGACAACCAAGAGTCAGACAACCAAGAGTCAGACAACCACGAGTCAGACAACCAAGAGTCAGACAACCACGAGTAAGACAACCAAGAGTCAGACAACCAAGAGTCAGACAACCAAGAGTCAGACAACCACGAGTCAGACAACCAAGAGTCAGACAACCACGAGTCAGACAACCAAGAGTCAGACAACCACGAGTCAGACAACCAAGAGTCAGACAACCACGAGTAAGACAACCAAGAGTCAGACAACCAAGAGTCAGACAACCAAGAGTCAGACAACCACGAGTCAGACAACCAAGAGTCAGACAACCAAGAGTCAGACAACCAAGAGTCAGACAACCAAGAGTCAGACAACCACGAGTCAGACAACCAAGAGTCAGACAACCAAGAGTGAGACAACCAAGAGTCAGACAACCACGAGTCAGACAACCAAGAGTCAGACAACCACGAGTCAGACAACCAAGAGTCAGACAACCAAGAGTCAGACAACCAAGAGTCAGACAACCAAGAGTCAGACAACCACGAGTCAGACAACCAAGAGTCAGACAACCACGAGTCAGACAACCACGAGTCAGACAACCACGAGTCAGACAACCAAGAGTCAGACAACCACGAGTCAGACAACCAAGAGTCAGACAACCACGAGTCAGACAACCAAGAGTCAGACAACCAAGAGTCAGACAACCAAGAGTCAGACAACCACGAGTCAGACAACCAAGAGTCAGACAACCACGAGTCAGACAACCAAGAGTCAGACAACCACGAGTCAGACAACCAAGAGTCAGACAACCACGAGTCAGACAACCAAGAGTCAGACAACCAAGAGTCAGACAACCACGAGTCAGACAACCACGAGTCAGACAACCAAGAGTCAGACAACCAAGAGTCAGACAACCACGAGTCAGACAACCACGAGTCAGACAACCACGAGTCAGACAACCAAGAGTCAGACAACCACGAGTCAGACAACCAAGAGTCAGACAACCACGAGTCAGACAACCAAGAGTCAGACAACCACGAGTCAGACAACCAGAGTCAGACAACCAAGAGTCAGACAACCACGAGTCAGACAACCAAGAGTCAGACAACCACGAGTCAGACAACCAAGAGTCAGACAACCAAGAGTCAGACAACCAAGAGTCAGACAACCACGAGTCAGACAACCACGAGTCAGACAACCAAGAGTCAGACAACCAAGAGTCAGACAACCAAGAGTCAGACAACCAAGAGTCAGACAACCACGAGTCAGACAACCACGAGTCAGACAACCACGAGTCAGACAACCACGAGTCAGACAACCACGAGTCAGACAACCAAGAGTCAGACAACCAAGAGTCAGACAACCACGAGTCAGACAACCACGAGTCAGACAACCAAGAGTCAGACAACCACGAGTCAGACAACCACGAGTCAGACAACCAAGAGTCAGACAACCACGAGTCAGACAACCAAGAGTCAGACAACCAAGAGTCAGACAACCACGAGTCAGACAACCACGAGTCAGACAACCACGAGTCAGACAACCAAGAGTCAGACAACCAAGAGTCAGACAACCACGAGTCAGACAACCAAGAGTCAGACAACCAAGAGTCAGACAACCACGAGTCAGACAACCAAGAGTCAGACAACCAAGAGTCAGACAACCACGAGTCAGACAACCAAGAGTCAGACAACCACGAGTCAGACAACCACGAGTCAGACAACCACGAGTCAGACAACCAAGAGTCAGACAACCAAGAGTCAGACAACCACGAGTCAGACAACCAAGAGTCAGACAACCACGAGTCAGACAACCAAGAGTCAGACAACCAAGAGTCAGACAACCAAGAGTCAGACAACCAAGAGTCAGACAACCACGAGTCAGACAACCACGAGTCAGACAACCACGAGTCAGACAACCACGAGTCAGACAACCACGAGTCAGACAACCACGAGTCAGACAACCACGAGTCAGACAACAAGAGTCAGACAACCAAGAGTCAGACAACCACGAGTCAGACAACCACGAGTCAGACAACCACGAGTCAGACAACCACGAGTCAGACAACCACGAGTCAGACAACCAAGAGTCAGACAACCAAGAGTCAGACAACCACGAGTCAGACAACCACGAGTCAGACAACCAAGAGTCAGACAACCAAGAGTCAGACAACCAAGAGTCAGACAACCACGAGTCAGACAACCAAGAGTCAGACAACCAAGAGTCAGACAACCACGAGTCAGACAACCAAGAGTCAGACAACCACGAGTCAGACAACCACGAGTCAGACAACCACGAGTCAGACAACCAAGAGTCAGACAACCACGAGTCAGCAACCAAGAGTCAGACAACCACGAGTCAGACAACCACGAGTCAGACAACCACGAGTCAGACAACCACGAGTCAGACAACCACGAGTCAGACAACCACGAGTCAGACAACCAAGAGTCAGACAACCACGAGTCAGACAACCACGAGTCAGACAACCAAGAGTCAGACAACCACGAGTCAGACAACCAAGAGTCAGACAACCACGAGTCAGACAACCACGACCAAGAGTCAGACAACCACGAGTCAGACAACCAAGAGTCAGACAACCAAGAGTCAGACAACCACGAGTCAGACAACCAAGAGTCAGACAACCACGAGTCAGACAACCAAGAGTCAGACAACCACGAGTCAGACAACCAAGAGTCAGACAACCACGAGTCAGACAACCACGAGTCAGACAACCAAGAGTCAGACAACCAAGAGTCAGACAACCAAGAGTCAGACAACCACGAGTCAGACAACCAAGAGTCAGACAACCACGAGTCAGACAACCAAGAGTCAGACAACCAAGAGTCAGACAACCACGAGTCAGACAACCAAGAGTCAGACAACCACGAGTCAGACAACCAAGAGTCAGACAACCACGAGTCAGACAACCAAGAGTCAGACAACCAAGAGTCAGACAACCAAGAGTCAGACAACCAAGAGTCAGACAACCACGAGTCAGACAACCACGAGTCAGACAACCACGAGTCAGACAACCACGAGTCAGACAACCAAGAGTCAGACAACCACGAGTCAGACAACCAAGAGTCAGACAACCAAGAGTCAGACAACCACGAGTCAGACAACCAAGAGTCAGACAACCACGAGTCAGACAACCACGAGTCAGACAACCAAGAGTCAGACAACCAAGAGTCAGACAACCAAGAGTCAGACAACCACGAGTCAGACAACCAAGAGTCAGACAACCAAGAGTCAGACAACCACGAGTCAGACAACCAAGAGTCAGACAACCAAGAGTCAGACAACCACGAGTCAGACAACCAAGAGTCAGACAACCACGAGTCAGACAACCACGAGTCAGACAACCACGAGTCAGACAACCACGAGTCAGACAACCAAGAGTCAGACAACCACGAGTCAGACAACCAAGAGTCAGACAACCAAGAGTCAGACAACCAAGAGTCAGACAACCAAGAGTCAGACAACCACGAGTCAGACAACCACGAGTCAGACAACCAAGAGTCAGACAACCAAGAGTCAGACAACCACGAGTCAGACAACCAAGAGTCAGACAACCACGAGTCAGACAACCACGAGTCAGACAACCAAGAGTCAGACAACCAAGAGTCAGACAACCACGAGTCAGACAACCAAGAGTCAGACAACCACGAGTCAGACAACCACGAGTCAGACAACCACGAGTCAGACAACCAAGAGTCAGACAACCACGAGTCAGACAACCAAGAGTCAGACAACCACGAGTCAGACAACCAAGAGTCAGACAACCAAGAGTCAGACAACCAAGAGTCAGACAACCAAGAGTCAGACAACCACGAGTCAGACAACCAAGAGTCAGACAACCACGAGTCAGACAACCAAGAGTCAGACAACCAAGAGTCAGACAACCACGAGTCAGACAACCAAGAGTCAGACAACCACGAGTCAGACAACCAAGAGTCAGACAACCACGAGTCAGACAACCAAGAGTCAGACAACCAAGAGTCAGACAACCAAGAGTCAGACAACCAAGAGTCAGACAACCACGAGTCAGACAACCACGAGTCAGACAACCACGAGTCAGACAACCACCACGAGTCAGACAACCAAGAGTCAGACAACCACGAGTCAGACAACCACGAGTCAGACAACCAAGAGTCAGACAACCACGAGTCAGACAACACGAGTCAGACAACCACGAGTCAGACAACCACGAGTCAGACAACCACGAGTCAGACAACACGAGTCAGACAACCACGAGTCAGACAACACGAGTCAGACAACCAAGAGTCAGACAACCACGAGTCAGACAACCAAGAGTCAGACAACCAAGAGTCAGACAACCACGAGTCAGACAACCACGAGTCAGACAACCACGAGTCAGACAACACGAGTCAGACAACCACGAGTCAGACAACCACGAGTCAGACAACCAAGAGTCAGACAACCACGAGTCAGACAACCACGAGTCAGACAACCAAGAGTCAGACAACACGAGTCAGACAACCAAGAGTCAGACAACCAAGAGTCAGACAACCACGAGTCAGACAACCACGAGTCAGACAACCAAGAGTCAGACAACCAAGAGTCAGACAACCAAGAGTCAGACAACCACGAGTCAGACAACCACGAGTCAGACAACCACGAGTCAGACAACCACGAGTCAGACAACCACGAGTCAGACAACCACGAGTCAGACAACCACGAGTCAGACAACCAAGAGTCAGACAACCACGAGTCAGACAACCACGAGTCAGACAACCAAGAGTCAGACAACCACGAGTCAGACAACCAAGAGTCAGACAACCACGAGTCAGACAACCACGAGTCAGACAACCAAGAGTCAGACAACCAAGAGTCAGACAACCAAGAGTCAGACAACCACGAGTCAGACAACCACGAGTCAGACAACCACGAGTCAGACAACCACGAGTCAGACAACCAAGAGTCAGACAACCACGAGTCAGACAACCACGAGTCAGACAACCAAGAGTCAGACAACCAAGAGTCAGACAACCAAGAGTCAGACAACCAAGAGTCAGACAACCAAGAGTCAGACAACCAAGAGTCAGACAACCAAGAGTCAGACAACCACGAGTCAGACAACCAAGAGTCAGACAACCAAGAGTCAGACAACCACGAGTCAGACAACCAAGAGTCAGACAACCAAGAGTCAGACAACCAAGAGTCAGACAACCACGAGTCAAACAACCAAGAGTCAGACAACCACGAGTCAGACAACCACGAGTCAGACAACCAAGAGTCAGACAACCAAGAGTCAGACAACCACGAGTCAGACAACCAAGAGTCAGACAACCAAGAGTCAGACAACCACGAGTCAGACAACCACGAGTCAGACAACCAAGAGTCAGACAACCACGAGTCAGACAACCAAGAGTCAGACAACCAAGAGTCAGACAACCAAGAGTCAGACAACCAAGAGTCAGACAACCAAGAGTCAGACAACCAAGAGTCAGACAACCACGAGTCAGACAACCAAGAGTCAGACAACCACGAGTCAGACAACCAAGAGTCAGACAACCAAGAGTCAGACAACCAAGAGTCAGACAACCAAGAGTCAGACAACCACGAGTCAGACAACCAAGAGTCAGACAACCACGAGTCAGACAACCACGAGTCAGACAACCACGAGTAAGACAACCAAGAGTCAGACAACCAAGAGTCAGACAACCACGAGTCAGACAACCACGAGTCAGACAACCACGAGTCAGACAACCACGAGTCAGACAACCACGAGTCAAACAACCACGAGTCAGACAACCACGAGTCAGACAACCACGAGTCAGACAACCACGAGTCAGACAACCACGAGTCAGACAACCAAGAGTCAGACAACCACGAGTCAGACAACCACGAGTAAGACAACCACGAGTCAGACAACCACGAGTCAGACAACCACGAGTCAGACAACCACGAGTCAGACAACCACGAGTCAGACAACCACGAGTCAGACAACCAAGAGTCAGACAACCACGAGTCAGACAACCACGAGTCAGACAACCACGAGTCAGACAACCACGAGTCAGACAACCACGAGTCAGACAACCACGAGTCAGACAACCAAGAGTAAGAGAGTAAGAAGCCCTCAGAGCAGACGGCGGGAGACTGTGAGGGCGCATCTGGGAAGTCGCCGCGTGTCTACCCCGCAGCAGATGCGGGATCTGCTGCGGAGGGGAGAACGCGTTGGTTCGGTGCGGTGGTGGTATCAACACCTTTGACCATGATGACGTATTGATCTTGAGAGGCACTTCATAAAACATAACAGACTATTTTTGTGAAAAGTATGTGCATTGCTATTGGGAGCAAATGTTGGACATTTAAGAGGTTTGGTGTCAAACTGAAACAAACAAAAAACCAGCACAGGTTTGTATATATTTTATTAAAATCGACGTGATTGACGCCATTAGTACCAAAACATGGAAATTAAGCTTGAGTAAAACTAAAAGTTCTAGCAGACATAGCATGTTACACCCTTAGTTGGATGTGTTACACAAACGCAGCTGGATAAGCCTCATTCAAATGCATCGAGAATCACTGGCCCCGCAGCTCAATCCCAGACCATCGTGTGCCGACTCAGCACATGACGTCAGCCATGCTTTCTGGCTGGAGCTTGAGGAGCCCCTTTTTTTCTCGTGGAGACGGTGGGGGCTCCACCGCCGGCGGGAGTGACGCCTCCACAAGATGAAATCCAACGAACAGCTCGTAAACAAACGCACCGAGCACCCCACCGATCATGGGTGCCACCACAGGCACCCAGCTCCAGTAGCCACCGGACCTGCAGAAACACACACAGGAGCACATTACGAGTTAGGCACATGAGCAGAGTACACTTGTAAATGTTGTGGGTTTACTCTCCAACACAATGGTGTTCTGAACACGCAACTAATTGCCATGTTTTGTTTACGTGACAAGCATTACTAATTAATTGGCTGTGTTGGCTGTGTCGGGTGGTACCGGGTTTAATGACACATTTATATTTACGCGATCTAACCCAAAACACCTTAATTATGCTCATTTTCCGTTTACAGTCCTCACCCAATTTATAAAATTCCCCATTCCTATGGCGGGGGTCAGTCTGACAGTGAATTACAATTTGACTTCGCCACAAAGCGGTACTTAATGTATCAACCCTTAAGGGGTGATGAGTTGAGTCATACCGCCATCAGGATTTGAACTCGCAACCTTCCAATCGCAACCTGAGCCAGTATTCTGGTTACAGATCACGCAATTGCTCGTCCTCATATACTCACGAAAATACTTTCCAACCCCATCCAGCAATGGACGTGAAGAGACGCGGGCCGAGGTCACGGGCCGGGTTCACGGCGTACCCCGCGTTGAAGCCCATGGAGAGCCCGATGAGCACGACGACGAGGCCTATTATGTAGGGCTGCATGCCCTTTGGAGCTGGGTTGTTTCGCTTGTCTATCACCGCCATGATGCACACCAGCAGGGCTGCAGTGCCAATCAGCTGTGCTCACACAATACACGCAATGTTTCCTGTCAAGCAACGGCATTCGTCGGTTTTATACAGCGGTAACATGGAAAGGTTCTGTTATGGGACTTGACACACAGATGTAAGAGTGCAGCCGTGTAACCTAGCACGTCAGAGGAGAGATTGCCATGAAATTCCAACAGGGCTACGAGATGGCTGGGGGATGGCAGAACATAAAATTTGCATAGTATTCAGTGGTTTCTCTTGTTTGTGGACATTTAGAAATATTTCCCCATTAACTACTCCACAAAACACATCTTTTACAGGCGGTACCAGATCACGTATTTTATGTACTGTGTTGAATCGGACCTGGATCTTGTGTTTAATCAAGATTTTGGAGATCTTATGGTTTATAGCAATACAGTATATAATTTAATGTTGGGTTTATCTATGGCAGTATATAGTACGGTGTATGCTCGTGTGATGTAAGAGAATAAAGTTTAGATGGAAGCATATTATATAATTTTTTACGACGTAGAATTGTAATGTATTACTTGCTGTTAGTAACTCAGCTTATTGTAGAGTATAGTAAGTATACTGATGGTGCTATGCAGTTTATACTTTAGTTTTTTATGTAGTTTATACTTTAGTTTTCTACGTGGTTGTTTAGTAACTGCAGCTACATACTATTAACATTCCTTTCCTTTGTTAATGCTACTCCCTGCACCCCCCCTTGGTGCTGTTGATCCTGCATAATGCATGGGCATAATATGACTATGAAACCCCCCCACCCACCTCCTACGCATTTCCCATGAATATGCTAAATTCCTCTTCATATGCACATTCTTTTTGTTAAGGCGCTCTTCCACCTCCAACCCAGCTTATATATAAGCTCCTAGCTTGGTAGTGTCTCATTCTTCACCTGAAGACGGCTGCTTGCGTTGTAGCCGAAACGTCGTGAGAATTATTTTATTTTATTATGTTTTATTTTAATTATTTTATTACTTCCCTTCTACGTGACTTTACCGAAAGAACCAAGAAGATGAATCCCTGCAGTCACGAAAGCTTTAAATCGAAATTTACATTACCTTGGTACATGTCTTGACATTAAGAGGCTAAATGTCTCACTAACATAGCTTCCATTTTCCTCGATGTGGCGGTGGCTCTCGTTGTTTAATAGGTTGAATGTGTCTCATGAACACAGCTGCTGCTGCGGGAGCCGTCTCACATTGGCATGCTAATCTCTAATCTCGAGCAATACAATGGCCTAGGTATATTACTTGTAAATTCCATCTCTAGCCCCGCCCACTTACCCTTGGGTTGTACCCATCTCAAACCTATAACCTGTTTCTGCAGTAGTTCTCTCGCTATATTTCTCCTGCCTCAGCAGTTCGCCTGAAGGCGATTGCTCGTGTTGCGATAAAACGTGGTGATTTTATTTATTTATTTTTCTATCTACGTGACTTTACCGAAAGACCCAGAAAGTAGAATGACCTGTTTGGAAGTGAAGTAACAAAACGCACGTGTGTGTGTGCTGAAATGTATTAATAAACCTGATCCACAAATCCATTTCCCAGAGACAGGTGCTCTGAGGGGTAAGTGGCAAAAACTCCAGCCAGCTGAATTGTGTAGTTCCCATTGCCGGCGTACAGGAAGGCATCTGCAATACAATGACAATGTTAACAGCCAATGTTGCTCATTGGTATCGATTAGAATAAGGAAGAAGAGTATTAGACAGACACTACTGATTAAATGTTTATTGTTAAATAACCTTTAAACAATAGGGGCCCGATATTCGTGTGATGGAAATTTCCACCGATTACAGGAAGCATTCAGAAAGTAAAATATTTGAAATTATTGATACATTCTGGACCTTTACAAATTACACGAATAATAAATGTGTTACAGCTATTGAATATCTTTATCATCATTTTGGTCATTATCAGCCATGGTCAATCCACTGCTGGATGAATACCTCCCCAAGCTGCCACCATCTCCTGGATCCAGCAATGTAACAACCCAGCGCCTGCACACGAACTGATTTCTTTGCTCCATCTCCCCAGTGGACCGTGTTTTGGGATGTTTTCCATTCCTTGACTGCCACTCCATCACTATTCTTGACCACCGGTTATCGTCCCTTCTATCAATATGCCCAGCCCAAGCCTACTCCCTTTTCTTAACGGTTCCGATGATTTCATTAACCAGTGTTTGCTCTAGAATTCACGTGTTGCTCTTTGCATTTGTCCATGTAATTTCAAGCATGCATCTCTCCATGCTTATTTGCGCACTTTTCACTTTCCTACATTTTTCGTAAATTCAACACAGAAAATGTGTGTACCAGGGACAGTTACTGCGGGCGGAATTAAATCGAAACTATTAAACAAAGAGGCGGACGAGAGCATGGTGAGATGCTTTTGGAAGCTGAACTTGACAATGAAAAGCAACACAGCGATGCGCCTAGGGAAGGGAGCTTTCTACCATTGCATATTACTTGCTGTGACATGGCTCAGAAAAAATGTAATTGACTAAAATGGAATAAAATCTAAACAGTGCACAAAGAAGCCTGGGGAGATACATGTTTGGAATTACGTGGACAGACACAGATAGGAGCACGTGAATTAGAGAACATATGAAGGTTAATGCCATCATCAAAAATGTGAAGATTGGAATTTGCCAGGACACACATGCGATGATGATCAATGGTCAAGAATAATAATGGAGTGGCAGCCAAGGAATGGAACACGTTCAGGAGGATGACTACCGAGGAGATTGAGTGATGAGATAAGTTCGTGTGAGGGTGCACGGTGGATTACACTGGTCTACAGCCAAAATGCTTCGGAAATAAATGTAGTCCAACTCTACTAATTCTGGGTCATTGAGAATGAAAATGATGCTTAAAATTGTTGATTGGCTCTAGTTTTCAAGATATGCTAACGGGTCAGTATATACGACCCTTGACTTGGGAATGGTGGAGGATAAGTGAGTTATAAAGGGAAGGGATCTCAATTTCAACCAGAAATGACTAAAATACATATTTGACTGGATCTATGAATAAATGTCTGACTGGGTTTGGACAGTGCTTGATTTTTTAGCAAAACAATGAATGATGCAATCTGAACCTGGTATTGCATCATACATGACATGAATTGCATCATGTTATTCCTAGAAGTCATGGATAATGTAATCATAACTAGGCTTACATCCCTCTGATGAACAAATTGTCCTATATCAGCTCTATAAATCATATGGTAGTTTATATGGTAGTTTGCCATTTTTCTCCACTTACATGGTGGATCTGATGGATGGGTGTCTGGAATTGATGTGGTCCAAGAAGTGGTTCAATGCTGGGAGGCCATGTGGTCCAATGACGAAAGTGTCATCCACATACCTCTTCCACAGGGAAGGACGCAGGGTGGATGTCTGGATGGCGTCTGATTCAAACTTTCCCATGAACATATTGGCTATCACTGGTGACAAGGGGGAGCCCATAGGGGTATCCTCATTCTGTTTGTAGAAGGTGTCATTCCAGGTAAAATAAGTGTTGGTGAGGCAATGCCTAACCAGCGCAGGTACATCCGAATTCAATCAATTCCAGACACTCATCCATCAGATTCACCATGGAAGTGGAGAAAGATGGCAAACTACCATTCTTAGATATTCTGTTTGAGAGGAGACCTGACGGATCCTTGGGACATTCTGTCTACAGAAAAGCCACCCACACAGATTCCTACTTGAAACCTGATTCCCACCACCACCCATCTCAAAATAATTATCTCATCAAAACGCTATACCACAGAACTCATGGCATTTCTGACCAACACCACCTGGCCAGTGAATTAAGACATGTACATCGGGCCCTCAGGATGAACGGATACTCTGACCGTACCATCCGCCAAGCTGTTTCTCCCACCATACAGAAACAGCCACTTGAAACTCCAATCAAAACAATCACGTTGCCATACATAGCAGGCGTGACCAAAAAGATCTCCAAAATTCTAAACAAACATAAGATCCAAGTCCGATTCAGTACAGTACATAAAATCCGTGATCTAATTCCATCTGTGAAGTATGTCATCTCTGACTTGCAATACCATGGAGTCTATAAACTGAGTTGCAGCTGTGGTGATTGTTACATTGGTGAAACGAAACGTCATGTCTCTGATCGTGTCCGCGAGCATAAGTCATATCTGAAACACGGCAAAATTGAGTTTTCCGCCGTTGCCGATCATTGCTACAACGCTGTGGGCTCTCATGATATTGTTTTTTCTGAGACCAAGGTGCTCTGCAAACCCTCTGGCTACCATCAAAGGTTTGTACACGAAGCCATTCAGATATACAAACATAGACATAACTTCAACCGTGATGATGGGTACAAACTGAGTAATCATTGGAAAGATGTTATTAACCATGTAAAAAATATTTAACTACACATATCTGTACCATCTTATTTGACAGGTACTTTCTACTTTACCGAGTGTTGACATCCCCAGCGTTTAACAGTACTGCTTTTTTGCATTTGGTATTTGGATTCTCAACCAACATCGGTTTAGGTTGAGGTACACTGATTGTTTTCTTGCACATGACGACGTTGACCAATTTCTTTTGTAGCTCCGTTTTCTTGCACACGACGTTACATTCCCTGGTTACCACATTCAGATAAGCCCCTCTCCCCTTAACTTGTATTTAAGGGCTGGTCTTTTGGAATTTTCCTCACTTGATGCAGTAATTTTAGCTGTGACGGTCCCACCTGATGACGGAGACTTATGTTGCCTCCGAAACGTCGTGATTGATTATTTTATTTTATTTCCATTATTACTTTTATTAACTTTTCATTTTATTTTTTACCTACGTGACTTTACCGAAGAAACCTGAGAGTATGAATCCTTGCAGTCACGAAAGCTTAAAATCTAGAATTACACACCTCATAACACAAGGTCAACTGAAAGACCTTGTCAGGGATTTGGAACTACCCAAGAGTAAGGCAGAGCTGTTGGGCTCTAGGCTGCAGCAGTGGCATCTCCTGGCAGGTGATGTTAGGGAAAAGATGGCATGGAAAGCCTTCCAGTCAGTGGCAACACATTTTCTCGGAAAGAAAAAGGCAGACAACTATAGGAAGTTGTTGGAAAACCTCAAGGCATACTAAAGCCTTGGTTGCAATGTCACTAAAAATAAATTGTTTGCACTCTCATCTAGATTTTTTTCTCACCGAACTGCGGAGCAGTGAGCGACGAGCATGGCGAGTGATGTCACCAGGACATTGCCACAATATACATAGACATAAAATGTAAAACACTTAAATATATTTGGAACAGTAGCCAATCAGTTGCTTTAATGATCATATTTGAATTCAGCACATCAAAATCCATAATAAACAGCACATTTCATCTCTGAAGCAGACGACGTCTAAAACATTGTAGACCAGTGTTATTTTATCGCAGCATTGTGAGGGGCTGCCACCCTGCCACGCAAGTAAAGAAATGCGGTGTAATCTCACCATAATACAGTCCGAACACGGTGCCTGCGCCCATGAAAGCTCCGAGGAGCTGAGCCAGCATGTAGAGAGGTAACTTGTGCCATTCGAAGCGACCCAGAACGGCAAACGCAAATGTAACGGCTGGGTTCAGGTGTCCACCTGGCAATGCACACGGGGGCAGGGGGGGGGGCACGGCGGGTCTCTCAACGTCTGGCTTAACAGTGGACTTCACTATTGTCACAATCACTCTTTTGGCCAACGGTGTCGTAAAAACCCAAGCGCTGTGCGAATGAAGTGCTAAAGAAGACAGTTAAAATCCCGTCCGATATTCACCCAGGAGAGCCTCACCGATGCTCAAGACTCTTTCAAAAGGGCCCTCCCTGCCAAGTAGTACTACTTGGCAGGGCCCTGCCTGCCAAGTAGTACTACTTGGCAGGGCCCTCCCTGCCAAGTAGTACTACTTGGCAGGGCCCTCCCTGCCAAGTAGTACTACTTGGCAGGGCCCTGCCTGCCAAGTAGTACTACTTGGCAGGGCCCTCCCTGCCAAGTAGTACTACTTGGCAGGGCCCTGCCTGCCAAGTAGTACTACTTGGCAGGGCCCTCCCTGCCAAGTAGTACTACTTGGCAGGGCCCTGCCTGCCAAGTAGTACTACTTGGCAGGGCCCTCCCTGCCAAGTAGTACTACTTGGCAGGGCCCTGCCTGCCAAGTAGTACTACTTGGCAGGGCCCTCCCTGCCAAGTAGTACTACTTGGCAGGGCCCTGCCTGCCAAGTAGTACTACTTGGCAGGGCCCTCCCTGCCAAGTAGTACTACTTGGCAGGGCCCTGCCTGCCAAGTAGTACTACTTGGCAGGGCCCTCCCTGCCAAGTAGTACTACTTGGCAGGGCCCTGCCTGCCAAGTAGTACTACTTGGCAGGGCCCTCCCTGCCAAGTAGTACTACTTGGCAGGGCCCTCCCTGCCAAGTAGTACTACTTGGCAGGGCCCTGCCTGCCAAGTAGTACTACTTGGCAGGGCCCTGCCTGCCAAGTAGTACTACTTGGCAGGGCCCTCCCTGCCAAGTAGTACTACTTGGCAGGGCCCTGCCTGCCAAGTAGTACTACTTTCAACTTGCGACCCGTCGCCGCACACGAGTCGCTCACTCTCGCGGAGAGAGTGAGTCAGAGGCGCGAGGAACCACAGACAAGCGGCAAGGCAGCCACGCGGTGATCCAGCACCAACAACTGCCCAAGCTCTGCGGTCCTCTATTTATGAAGGTGTTATCGGTCAACTTATGCGTGTTTACGTGTGGGAGGAAACCAGAACATCCGTACAACACCCACGCGTGCGAGGGGGGAAACGCCCTATCCCAAACAGACGGAACGAGTGGAGTCCACACCTTTGCTCTACGGGTACTGCATTCTCCTGGCAAGCCAGGGTATAGCTCCTCCTCGACGCCCACGTGAAGGTAGTTTCACAACATTTGTGCTTGATTCACAAACCCTCGCTGCCTTGGCAGCGCCGAATTCGCAGGCCACGTGCATAACCAGCACCACCCGACAAAGTATTTGCATTAAGAGGCGATGTTTCTCTGTGCAATTGAGTTATTCCCAGGTAATTATTCAGCACTGGAAGTTTTGCCAACACCAGTTACATTGAGTGCGTTTTTCGTTTGTTTAGGTAACGGAGGCATCTCGTGCAGAACAGGGATGAACAAACTCCACACCAGAAGGGGACTCGAGTCGCATTGGAACCCAGGCCCGTCATGCTGTGAGGCACGGGTGCCACAGCCCCCTGCCTCTCTCTCATTAACACACGTTTCGCATTCACCCGGCGACACTCGAGCAGACGTCCAATTCTGTAGTTACACTTGTCATGACGGAGAAGCGGAGGACGGGTTTCGTGTGGCGTGCGATTGAAATGACGTGGGGGTGTCAAGCGGCATGCGGCGCAGTTAGCTCCTGCGCATCGAGCGCGTACCTGAAACGCCTGCAGCGGCGTGGAGTCCCATGGTGACCGCAAACCCAAAGGCGAGGTTGATCGTGAGGAACTGCCCCTTGAGTCCTCCACTCAATTCAACCTGCGCCACCGAGCCACACCCAAACAACTGCCCGAGCAGCGAAGGCGGAGAAGGAGCGGCGAGTTGGCGTCAGAAAAGCACGAGCAAACATCCAAACGATTCATTACGATACAACTTGTTTGCCCAGGAAAGCCTCACCGAGTTTCAACACCCTGTTTTATGTGGTGTGTAATCCCAATTGAGTCATTTGCAAGTAATGTATTGCAGTGGGATGTTTGGCCAATACCAGTTACAATGTGAGTTGTCTTAGCTATACGATTAAAGTGGAGAACCTGGAGGAAACCCCTTGTAGAACAGGGGGAGAACATAAGGATCCACACAGAAAGGCACCCATGTGGGGAGTCGAATACGTTGATCTGATATCGTTTCTTACACGGCGCTCCACTCACAACTAAGCATAAATTACAACTTGGATCGGAGATTTGATGATCGAACATGATTCTTATTGATGACAGGTCTTGAACTCCTCGCAAGTCACTTACAACCAGAATGTACGTCCCCACAAACTCTGCCATCGCCTCGCAGACCAGCCTATTTCGGATGAACAGCCTCCGCTGCAGCCTCTTCATTCGCCCCTCTTGCACCGGCATCGTCTCCTGCACGCAGCACAGGGCAATGGGATTGGGATCCGAGGATGGAATGCGCATTATACATTTTAAATATTAAGAGCAGGGCTCACCACCCTGATCTAAGAGCAGCGCTCACCACCCTGGTGGGTCTAAGAGCAGCGCTCACCACCCTGGTGGGTCTAAGAGCAGCGCTCACCACCCTGGTGGGTCTAAGAGCAGCGCTCACCACCCTGGTGGGTCTAAGAGCAGGGCTCACCACCCTGGTCTAAGAGCAGCGCTCACCACCCTGGTGGGTCTAAGAGCAGGGCTCACCACCCTGGTCTAAGAGCAGCGCTCACCACCCTGGTGGGTCTAAGAGCAGCGCTCACCACCCTGGTCTAAGAGCAGCGCTCACCACCCCGGTGGGTCTAAGAGCAGCGCTCACCACCCTGGTCTAAGAGCAGCGCTCACCACCCTGGTGGGTCTAAGAGCAGCGCTCACCACCCTGGTCTAAGAGCAGCGCTCACCACCCTGGTGGGTCTAAGAGCAGCGCTCACCACCCTGGTCTAAGAGCAGCGCTCACCACCCTGGTGGGTCTAAGAGCAGCGCTCACCACCCTGGTGGGTCTAAGAGCAGCGCTCACCACCCTGGTGGGTCTAAGAGCAGGGCTCACCACCCTGGTCTAAGAGCAGCGCTCACCACCCTGGTGGGTCTAAGAGCAGCGCTCACCACCCTGGTGGGTCTAAGAGCAGCGCTCACCACCCTGGTGGGTCTAAGAGCAGGGCTCACCACCCTGGTCTAAGAGCAGCGCTCACCACCCTGGTGGGTCTAAGAGCAGGGCTCACCACCCTGGTCTAAGAGCAGCGCTCACCACCCTGGTGGGTCTAAGAGCAGCGCTCACCACCCTGGTGGGTCTAAGAGCAGCGCTCACCACCCTGGTGGGTCTAAGAGCAGGGCTCACCACCCTGGTCTAAGAGCAGCGCTCACCACCCTGGTGGGTCTAAGAGCAGCGCTCACCACCCTGGTGGGTCTAAGAGCAGCGCTCACCACCCTGGTGGGTCTAAGAGCAGGGCTCACCACCCTGGTCTAAGAGCAGCGCTCACCACCCTGGTGGGTCTAAGAGCAGGGCTCACCACCCTGGTCTAAGAGCAGCGCTCACCACCCTGGTGGGTCTAAGAGCAGCGCTCACCACCCTGGTGGGTCTAAGAGCAGCGCTCACCACCCTGGTGGGTCTAAGAGCAGCGCTCACCACCGCCAGCGCCCGGCGTGTATCAATACGTGTACATTATATGCAATTCATACGGCACACTGACGATGTATATTGTAGTAACACATTCCTGCGGAGGGAGCTGGTAGGAACGATGGGTTGCTCGGTCCATGGCCAGGGTCAACGGCGGCGTGGTGTATTCCGCAAATATGCCCGACTGTGAGGGCGGGCACAAGCCGGCGTGAGTAGGTGAAACGTTGAGTTTTATAAGGGCACCACGGGGTGACCAGCCCCTCCCTACCCAGCCCCACCCAGCCCCACCCATCCCATCCCCCACCCAGCCCCACCCTCCCCACCCAGCCCCTCCCCAACCTCCCCACCCAGCCCCTCCCCACCCAGCCCCTCCCTCCCCACCCAGCCCCTCCCTGCACGACGGACGGACGGACACAATAACCCCCTGTGGGCTGGTGTAACCAGAGGTTCCTACCAGTATAACGAATACAGTATATATAGACTGTATATGGTAGCGTGTGTATACTGCGTGTGTATTGCACAAAATGTACTATAAATGCAGAGGCATATACTCTGTACATAGAGCAGCCTTCTCTGGAGCACATGCCGTACGAACTGGTGGTGTGCGCCACATCGTTAGTTATGTGTCTGTTGTGTTTGTTGTGTGTTTGTTGTGTCTGTTGTGCGTTTGTTGTGTTTGTTGTGTGTTTGTTGTGTTTGTTGTGTGTTTGTTGTGTGTTTGCTGTGTGTTTGATGTGTGTTTGTTGTGTGTTTGTTGTGTGTTTGACTGGGTGCAATCTTCACTTTGTTAATTCAGACCGTGTAATTAACATGTTGTACACGCATCGTTACGTGTTGGCGATGTGTGTAAATTGACAGCCTGTACACCCTTGCCAATAATAATCATGTCAACTCGTAATGCGCAAGCCGCAGTGTTCGTTCACTCGCAGAGAGAGAGAGGATGACCCAGAGGCGCGAGAGGAGCCACAGATGAGCGGTGAGCCCACGGTACCAACAATCGCTCAAGCTCTGCGGTCCTCTACATATCACGGTGTTATCGGCCAATTAATGAGTGTTACCATGTAGGAGGAAACCGGAGCACCCGTAGAAAACCCACGCATGCGAGGGAGAAACACTCTATCCCATAGGGATGGAACAGGTGGAGTCCACGTTTTTGCAGTACCGTCTTCTCATGGGGAGCCAAGGCAGGGCGCCTCCTCGTCGCCCAGGGGAAGGGAGTTTCACAACATTTATGCAATCCACCAATCCTCGCCACTGCTTCCACCGTGCTGGATTAGAGGTGTGCGTAGCCACCGCCGCCCGGCAAAATGAGATGTTCCATCTCAAATGATTTTCCATGTGAAAACTTGAAAACAATGACAACTAAAAAACACCCATCTAAATGAGATGTCAATTGCGGGTGCTCGTATTGCGTCCGCACCGTCTTTCTGCACGGTAGTGGATCGACTAACATCATCAGCAACGTCCACGCACTTGTGTGGACTACATCTGGCTCATGTAAGAATTAAATCTTAATTACAAACTTCCACCTGGGAAATCACCTGGAGATGGAGGAATATCTGATTTTTAGGCCGTTTAGGCCTAAAATGAGATATTAACACGTTACAACGCGCGGGCAAACGTGTTAAATCCATAACTCGTATGGCGTGAATTTACACGGTGACTATCGCACCCAGCCCAAGACATATAGTTAGTAAATAACGCTGTGAGACGATGCACACAGCACGGTAACATCGCGTGTGCCTTCACGTACAGAGAGAGGGCGGCTCACCAGAGATCGTGAGATGGGTGGAACGGGCCACGCTGGCGACACCCCACTGCCATCAGGCATAGATATATTTTGAGGCTATATTTGGAAGCAATATTCGTTAAATCGATTTAAAAAGTTCAATGAAGTTGCCAGGAAAAGCAGTAAAATGTAGTTCCACATATTGCATTTGCTGATATAAGGTACAACTGATGTAAAGTGTTCCAGATAAAACAAATTATGAATAATTCGAGAAAACCTACAATTATAATACAGAGGGTAGAGTGCCTCTGTGGTGCAGCGTGTGATTTTTGTTCGTGAACAATTTAAATGTTTGTATTTTATGAAAATGATAGAATCAGCACAACAGCGTTACCTTTGGTTTTGAAGCGTTGCACTGAAACAACAGCGGCCTCTGTTCCCTCTTGGTGCACGCTCCCAAGGCGATAGCTGTGTTAGGGGCATGCGGCTACTGCTGCTGCTACTTGCTGCTGCTGCTGTTGGTATAAGTAGCACCAGGCAGCGCGCACCCATTGGATGCTCGCTAACAATATAGGTTAATTTACATGTCCGCCCACAGAGCTTATATAATAATTTATCTGTGGGTTTTTGGTAACTCGACAGCAGGTTACGTCAGCTGCGCTCAACGGTATAAATCAAAAACGTGTGTGTACGTTCATTCAGACGGAGCGAATTGTGTGGGAGTGAGACGAGTTTATTAGGAGGGCTCATTGCTACGAATGATGATAACGCAGCCCAAGTATCAGTGCAGTGTTGAATGAAAGCCTATTGCAATCAATCCAACACTCAACTCTTCATAATACAGATTTTTGGGTTAGATCGCGTAAATATAAATGTGTCGTTAACCTACCACCACCCGACACAGCCAATCAGTAAGGTTTGTCAGTAAACAAACGTGCCAATTAGAAACTACTTCAGCACAATGGTGTATTGGAGATTAAACCCACAACATTTATCATTTGAGTACGACGTTTCGCTGGTGATTAGAACCAGCTTCATCAGGCGACTTTCCGGAATTGTGAGGAAGTTTTCGTGCTTCTGGTCTTAAACAGAGTTTGCTAAATGGCAATCGTCAAAAAAGCTTTAACTTCCCTGCCTCTCAGTGACGAGTCTTGCAAATGTGTCCACAGATTAAGTTGAATCTAAAAAAAGATTTTCCTCATTTGAAAAAGTATCCGCAAATTACTTTCCTGGGATTACACAGGGCAGCAATCATCGCCCCCGATTAGCAGACTAACGCCCACTTGCAGGGTCAGCCGCCACTGGAAGTGCCCTTCAAATATGTGAGCTGGCATGCAAGGTGCTTTGAGTTACTGAGGCATTCAAGCAAGTGCATATACATGTAAAATCGTTATATATTGTTACATCTGTAAAACGTGGATTATAGGAAGATGCCATTTGCATATGGAAGTTGTTGTGAAACTCTTCAAAGTTAATTTCCCAGCAATTGCAATGTGGCCGCACAAAACAAGCAAAAAGCTTGCAGCCAATAAGTAGCTGGGGCAGGGCCAAGGGGAATTTGAACTGTGGCCTTCAACCAGCAGTGGATGCTGATGGCCACCTCATCGCCGTCATGATAGATATCTCCACCGCCGGATGAAGCCCTCACCGCATCCATCATTTTGGCCTATGTGTGCCGAGGCTGCTGTGTGGCCACAGGCTTCCCCTTGATTCAGGAATAGCCGTGTGTACAATTCCATAGCTTCCGCTGCATGCTTTGCTTTGTGCTTAACTGCCACCACAGGCCAATCGCATTGAACCTTTTGCCAATGGTGGGAACATTATTCACTATGTAACACGATTTTTGTGCCTGGGTAGTAAGTGTTATTTTCTAATTGCTTATGCCTCAAAAGTATAGAAAATGGATATTAATCCCCGAAAACTTTGCTTTTGTGACCAGGACCTTACGTGAAGGAATGACACAAATGCACACGTATTCTCATTGAAAATAGATACATTTCAAAATTATCACTGTCCTGGTCACAAAAGCAAAGTTTGTGGGGAATAATAGCCACTTCCTGTACTTTTGAGGCATAAGCAATTGGAAAATAACACTTACTACCCAGGAACAACTTTTGTTTGGTACATATGTAATCCTTGCTGATTACTGGCCTTGAGCCGCAAGCCCGGTTGGTCCCGTGAGGCTGAAGTAGGCGAAAATTTGGCCCATTTTCGGCACTTAGCAGCAGGCTGAAGGTGTCGGTAAACATTCATCTCCCGACTGCCAGAATTGGACCGTTTCCACCTCTGTTTCCACGAGTGGCGAGTACGACCAGTGGAGCTAAACGATCTGGAATCGCGGCCCTGGAGTCCAACAACAAGGACACTAAAAATGCCAAACAAAGCAAAACATTTGATGAATAAAAATATTTGGCCACACCAAAGACAAAACAAAGCTGCAGGAACAACGCAAATTTCATCTAGAAAAGACACACAACCAACCTATTCACAGGACACACCCAAACACTATTCGACTGCGACAGTGTGTCTGAAGATACACAACTCAGAAAATAACTCCAATTATTAAGACACGCACGGAGAGCAAAGCACTCACTTGTTTCGCCTAGAAACATTGGGTGAAAATAAATGGATGACCTCTCTGCCCGAAGCAAATGTCATATTGTTCACAACATTGCAGACTAGACTGGGCATGCCATTCCAGAACATCTTGTCCATTAGGGGAGCAGGGTGACGACTTGAGCTCGGATTGTTATTTGAGCCAGGCTTTTGCGCTTGTTCCAGTGTTTACTTCTTCTCTGCTATGGCCTGATTTACACATGAGATACTGTAGTGGGAACAGCTTGTTTCTCTGACCGTCAGAACAAAAATATTTCACCATTGTTGTTATGATTTGTGACTGAAGTATTACATGTGTAATTATGAAAGTAATTTTCGTAATTATACTGTTAGATTTTGCTCCAGTTCAGGCATGCTCAAATATCAAATCGAGGGATACGAAATGTATTTACATGGGCGGGATCGATCCGTGTCGTTAATTCCACCTTCAAACCCAGCCTCAAAATGGCAAGCGCAACACACATGCTGTATGTAGTGCACGGCTGTGACAATCCAAAACATTGCACTTAAGTGGATTCTGTGGTGATTTCAAATTTGCGTTTATCCTCGGAGGCATTTCATGTGTACAAATGCGCATTACCTGGTATGACATGTGGCTTAGAATTACAGAGACTATGGAAGAATATGAAACAAAGAACTGAAAATTGTGCAAACAAGCGTGGAGATTTACACACGTGGAATGACAGTGAGGGACATAAAGAGGAACACGTTGATTAGATAACATACACAGATTCACATCATGTTGAAACTCAAAAAAAGTCGGCGAGTTTGGGCAGAGAATGGTCCTTTAAGGCAGTGGCTCTTAACCTGGGGTACACGCACCCCCTGGGAGTGCGAGATGCCCTTTCTGGGGGTGCGAGACATGACCAGATTAAGATCTAGAATGACCAGATTATTTGAGAAGGTAAATAATAGAAACACGAATTAAGCACGGGCACATAAGTGCAGCCACTTTGTTTAATCAAACCCTCCGTATTTATTAACATGAACCACTGCTCAAAAAAAAATGACAGGTGGTCGAGAGAAATCGTGGCAGCCAAAGCAGTGAACACACCGGAGCGTGTGCACGCCACTTCGAAGCGATGCATCAGGACCGAGAGGGTTGGTGATGGCACCGAGGCCTCATCGAGCAGTGGACAGATTATGGCTAATGCTTTTTATGTCCTCTACTTTCCTCCAATTCAATGGTTATTCCATTGTTTATATTTGTGATATCCGTTTAATTTCACTTCTCATGATGATTAACTCCGCTGCTTATAGTAAGATATCGCACAGCATTGCTTCAAGTTGTTGTTCCTTCATTAGTCACTTGTACATCTGTAGGGGTGTTGCGGGAGGACAAAAAACACACAAGGGGTGGTTACGCCCTCACGCGTAAGGGTGCCTACATCCACGTCCGCATCGGTTAGCTCTGGGGGGCTGTAACGGCGCTGTGATCCCCCACGGCCCCACCCCTCGGGGAGGAGTTGCTATATAAGGCGGAAAGCCGGTGGGCTCGGGGTTCAGTATTCAGCTTAACCAGTGAAGAGTGAAGACTGGCTAGATAGGCCCTGGGACTCCCCTGGTTCGCTGTCCTTCAAAGGACCGACCAGGGCAAGCCAGTGGCGTGGCCCCAAGAGCCCAGAGCCGATGCTCTTGTAAGAGCCGGTCTGGTTGGCTAAGGGTGCCGAGATCCTAGCTTGGCCAGAGCTGGATCAGCTAGCCTCCCCTAGCTCTCGAGTGGAGGACCTGGGAGCAGGCTAGCCGGGCTAGTGCTAGTGGGGTCTCCCTGTTAGACGGGTGAAGGGGCCATTACCCCTTCAAGTGTTGTATACATTGGCCTGTGTTGAGTGTAAAGTTATAATAAATAAGTGTGCCTCCGACTACGTCGTCTATGTCTCCTTGAACTCACTACAACTGGATTCAAAAGTGGTCTTCTAAAGATGGATACAAGACGGACGGCTCGTACCAGGGGACCTGGGGAGGAAGACACCTGGGCTGACTCAGAGTCTGAACTCGCCGAGGGCGAGCCCGTGCAACCGGGGCCGAGTCCACCACCACCGCAGTAGCCGGACGGGTGGGGGCCGTCGGCTGACGGGCGGCTCACTCCCGCCTGGCGGAGCTACTATACGCGGCAGCCGCCACGCTGGAGGAAATCACTTGCCTGGGGGTTGGAGGAGCAGCATGATGCGACGACGGGCGACACTCAACGCCAGTTCCCGCCATTTCAACGGGGCTGGAAGTTGAATTTCCCGCCATCATTACAGTGGGTGCTGAGGGCGGGGCCCGGGCACATCAGGTGGCCGATGGTCACCAACCAGTAACCGCCACATCATCAACTGTGGGCGACGGTGGCGAGCGCCAATCAAAGGACGGCGCGTCACCAGCAGTGCGACCACCGATGGCGTCCGCCATTCCCGCCAATACTGTACAGAATTGGCGGGAATGGCGGCTGGCAATCTTCGGCTGCGGAGTCCACGTTCCAGCAGCGGTTGCCGGTCCTGAAAGAGTTTGTGGCGGAAGACGGCAACTGGGGAGCGTTCCAAAGACGGTTCCTCGCCCACCAAGAAATGTCACGATGGAAGTACGATGAGGCGCTACGCGCGCTCCCGGCGACGCTGGACAGCGACGCTCTCGCCACCCTCACTACAGCGCTGAGATCGGCGCGCGCCACGCTGCAGTCGGCGCCTCGACTCCTGTCTGCAGTCTACGAACCACCTTCTGACTGCAGACAGCTATTTTACAACCGTCAGCGGGGCGCGAAGGAATCGCCCTTGGCGTACCGCACGGCTCTCCTGGCCTTGGCGAAGATGGCCTTCCCGCGGATGGATGAGGAAGGAATGGACGCTATGGTGGCGGAGAAGATATTGCTGCTGGCTGACGATTTGGACATCATCGTCTTG